TTATATATTTTTATTATAGAATATTAATATTTAAGATTTAATTAATTATTTTATTAATAATAAAAATTACTATCTTATTGAAATTGAGTTATAATGAATTCATTATTAATTCAATTATTTATCTATTTACAAGTTTTATAAAATATTAAGCGTTTTGAGTATAATAAAGACTTTAAAATAATTAAATAATTTATTAAGTTTTATTATTATTATTAAGTTTATAATAAATCTTTTAATAGATTCAAATTCTTTCTATCCAATAAGAATTTTGAATTCAAATATATAATATTTGTCAATATATTTTATATCAAAAACAATTCTATTTTATATATTATTAATAAAATAATACATTTTCAAACTACTTAATAATTAAATAATATAGTTATAAAACATATATAAAACAAATTCTATAAATATTAGATTAATATATATATCAAATTATCCGAATATATTATTTATAATATTAATATTAATTTCATTAGAAAAGAATTTTAATAATATATTATATTAATATTTATTTAAATAAAAATAATTCTTATAGAAATATATTATTTTATTAATATTATTAAGAGATTTTATATATTATTATAAAGATTTTATAAAATTATTTATAATGAGATTTATAGTTTAAATATTAGCAAAATAATTATACTTCAAATAACTATAAAAACTATTAATAATATTATTGAATCTAATGATTTAATATTTATGTTACTTGTTTTTAATATATTCCCTTATATTATTGAGAATAGCCCTTTGATATCTATTATTTAATAATAAGTTATTACAATCTCTAAAATTATAATAAAAGTCTGTAAACTCTATAGCTCTATATATATATAAAAAGCTTTGAATATATGTAATAGTTCTTCTATAATTGCATTTTATAATTCACTATTAAATAATATTATTTTAATTTAAAGAAAAGATAATAAAATAGTTTCTAATAAATAAAAAGAATTATTTTTATTATTTAATATAAACTATAAGATATATATATTCAATTTATCTTATAGATCTATAAGATTCAAATTTATATTAATAAAGTTTTATTATCAAATTAAATAAATTAATCAAATCAATTATATTTCAGATTATTTTAATAATAAATATAAGATAATTTTGCTAAAACCTAATAAAATTAGATTATCTGTTTTTGATATATCTATTATATATATTATAAATTCTAAGAAATATTTTTTAGATTTATTTAAAAACGATTAGATATTTATATCAATATTTTTTTTAAAAGTGATTATATTTCAAATTCGAGTTTATATATAAAATCAATATCCTGATTATTTTATAACTAATCTTAAAAATCTAATTCTATATAAAGAATTTAGAAAGAAAAAGATTAATGAATTAATAATCAAGAATATATTCGAGATTATATTATTATTAAATATTTCTTTAAAAATATGTATTTTTAAGTAATAATTTATTAATAAGATTAAAAATGAAGATATGAATATTGAATTTTATAAACCAAAAATAGTTATTCAAATATATAATAATATTAATAAAACAATTATTTTGATATGATTATTAATAATTTAATAATTATAGTAATATATTTTAGTTTTATTAATTATAAATACTTAAAAGAATAATATAAATATATATATTTGAAATATTATTTAAGTATATATTTAATCTATATTGAATCTATATTGTATTTTTTATACTTATATTTTAAAAGAAATGGATTTGCTAATTAGTATAGTTCTATTTATTATCAAACTATTATATAATATTCCAAAGATAGAAAACTATTAATTTAGAATATATTATATTTATTATTTTAAAAAACTTAAAATATAATAATTTATATATAATCCTTGTTTTTTGTATATTAATAATAAGGGGACTGGATTTGATATTATAAGATTTCAAATAGATAATATATTTATTATTAAAGATAGTGTATTTATATAAATCGAGAATAAACAATTTAAATAAACTAGTTTTATAATTAAAGATTGAAAGAAACTAATTCCTAATTATTTATTGAAGTTTAATAATATTATTCTTATATTTAAAGAAAATAATATTTATTTTAATTAACAAAAACAATATAAAAAATCTACAACTTGTTTCTATAGAATCTATAGATATTTATGGAATATATAGCAAAATCCGAAAATATGCTTTTATATATAATCAATATATTATATAATAAGCTTATAGAATATATATTATAACTATATATTAATCTGAAGTATCTTTTGATTTGTTTATAGTAGTATAAATAATGTAATCCAATAAGAATAATATTATAATATTGAATAAATATATCAAGTAGCAAAAAGAAAGTTTTATTAAAGAACTTAATTATATACTATTGAATTTGAATTTATTCAAAACCATTATTTTCACTAATATTTCTTTTATAAACAATAAAGATTATTCATTTTAAATAAATTATATAATTGTTATAATAAATAAATATAATAATATTAATATTATTTATTGATTATTCATTAAATATAAAAAAGTTATATATAGTGTTCTAGTTTCAGAATTGTATAGATTAGTTTAAGAATTCGATATCGGGGTAATAATCACTTTTATAATTAATATTATTCTTAATAAAAAGATTCTATTAATTTTATGTATTAATTCAAAGTTATTATATAACTTGCTTACTAAGCTAGGTATAATTAACAAAAATAAATTAATAATTGATATTATAGTAGTATATTAATTCTATAAGAGAAAAGAGATTATCAAAGTTATATAAATTAATAATCCAATTAATCTACTTAATGTAATAATGAAGGAAAAGCTATATTAAGCTTTTATTGATTTAATTAATACGAATAAAATTGATATTAAGGTAATAAAATAAATAAAAAAGGATTAAAAAAGAGAATGATTTTATTAATAAGAGATTAGGGATTCTAATCAATAAATAAAGGATTTTTATGACTTTACAAATTTCTTTTTCAGCTATATATATTAAAAATTATAAAAGAAAGTTCCAAATGTATGAATAAGAATATTCATTTTAAAGAAATAATTTTAATATAATAACTATTATATCAAAGGGATTAAGTGAATATAAAAAAGACTAGTTTTTTCAGTAGTATTTATATAAGGCCTATTACTTTCCTATATAGCTAGCTCTTTAGATAGAATACAATTAGATATACAGAATCTACGAATTCGTGAGTGCTACGTCTTTCGTATCCTACTCGAACCAATAGTATACAATTATATATAAACAAATTTTATATATAAAATAAGTAACCCATTCACTAATATAATCTGCTCACTAATAAACCACGTTATCTGTTTTTTCAAAGGATTATAAAATATTATATCTTATATAGATAAGCTTCTAAGTTTTTCTAAATATATTTCAAAATATATATTTTGTTATACTAATAATTCCTTTATTATTATATATCAAATTATTTAATAATATATTATAATTTATTAAAAAAACATTGAAGGTTCTAATATCGAATAATTGTAATTGATATATAAAATAAAATAAGGAAAAAGAATTAAAATAATAATCTTTAATTTATTATATTTTAAAAGGAATTCCAAATTGATATAACTAGAATAACTATTGATAATAAATAAATAATATCTTCCATCTACTTTTCGATATATAACAAAATTAAATACATTTATAAGCTAATATAGACCAAAAGTATTCAATAATTACCTATTACTTAAAACTCCAAAATAAACTTTATTCTTTTTCTCTACATTTTGAATTTATATATATTATAGATCCTTTGAATCTTCTTTATAAATAAAAACAAAAAGAAGAGTTATTTCATTAATATATATAGCTGCTAATAGAGTAATAAACTCTTTTAATCTATCTTACTTAGCTTTTTTTATTCTGCCTTTATTATAAATATTAGCACTTATTATTCTTTTTATAATCCTCCCTATATTAATTATAAGATTATTCTTATCTCAATTATATATATCTTTCGATTATATATTATATTTTATATTTATTTACTTTTATTAATTAAATTAAACAAAGAAAGATATTAACAAAAATATTTTAGATAATAAATATTAATAATAATAGAAAATAGCTCGAATTAGATTATAAAAGTAATCAAATATAATAATATTATTAGCTTTTATATATAAATTATTAATATAATAGAAATATTGATTTTTAAAATATATTGAATATCTTTTAAAAAAATTGTTAATTTAGTTTTTTTCTACTTTTTTATTTAGAATTTCTTTTATAAGATTTTTACTTATATAATTTATAAAAGGAATAGATCTTTATATTAATTTATTAATTTGATTAATTAAAATCTCTTTTTGATTATTAAAAAGTATTTGTTTTATATTAAAAAAATTGTTTTTTTAAAATAATTTAATTTTTATACTATCAGAAAATATATAATAATTAATTTTAAAGAAATTAGTTGTTTGGATATATTTAAAGATTTGAATCTTTTTTGAATAATTTAATACAAACTTTATACAAACCTCTAAAGCTATATTATCGATATTCAAAGCTATAATATCAATATTTTCAAAATTGTACATATAATAGGGACATACATGTAGTAGAGATATCGGTTACAAGAGTGGAGAATCAAACTCGTCGCTTCGGAATATACAAATAGGGAAACTACTCTCTCATTAACTCGCTTCTGCGGCTCATCCATGCGTGGATGCCAATTTCTCAAATTGAGCTCTTATGTACATCAACATTTGTAGCAGGAGCTTCATATCTCGGATTTTAGAGATCAATTTTCACGGATTTTGCTAAAGCCCGGTCGCTGGTCATGGCAATGATCCCATCAGAATGCGTGCTATTCACTCGGGCGTTGAAAAAACAACTGGGAAAAAACGATTTGAGAAAAAGCTATAAAACATGCTGTCCACCCTCTAATTTTGGTTGAACTCAAATCATCAAGAACAATCTCATTCACAAACCACCCATACCGGAGCATAAGTATCTTGCTCATCACTCACCACTACTCAACGACTATTCCCGAGACAACATGACAGCTGCAGTTGCGACTCAACCCCACAATCTTCCGCTCCTCGTTACTACCGAGACGTGTCGAGGCCGTACTTACATTGTTACTGGCGCCAACACCGGCCTCGGGCTTGAAGCTGCCAGGCATCTTGTTCGACTAGGCTCTGCCACCGTGATTATGGCAGTACGTGACCCATCTTCCGGCCTTCGCGCTCTGACTGATATTGAATCATCAACCGGGATTTCTGGTGTAGCTCAAGTTTGGGAGCTTGATCTATCTTCATACGCTTTTGTTATAGCTTTTGGGAAAAGAGTTATGGAGGAATTTGATAGAATTGATGCAGTGATAGAGAATGCTGGGGTAGCTTCAGGAGAAAGAATCATCAAAGAGGGACATCTGCTTACAATTACAGTTAATGTAATCAGCACTATACTATTGGGAGTCTTGCTGCTTCCAAAATTGAAGGAGTCTGGGGAGCGATTCGGAATCTTACCGCATTTGGTTATCGTAACGAGTAGAGTCGGTTTTGATTTTGGGGAGGACTGGATGAAGATCAAGGATGACCCAATAGTGAATTCGAATACGGAAGAGATGACTCCAAAGGCGTAAGTTATCTCTAGGCTGCTTGATATAGACTAACAGAATTCAATCAGGTATCCACTGTCTAAGCTCCTTGAGATAATGGCAATCCGCCATCTTACTGGTCTTCTTCCCCTTCAACAAACTGGAGTTGTCATAAATCTAGTGTGCCCCGGTCTTTGTAAGACCGATCTTAGCCGCAGCGTCCCCCCCAGACTTCGTGAAAGAATAGCTAAGCAAAAGGAGCAATATGGGCGAACTGCCGAAGATGGCAGTCGAACATTATTGTACGGCGCAGTTGTGGGCGAAGATAGTCATGGGTGTCTTTTGGAATCCTGTACCATTGCCGAGTACGTTTGAATCGTAGCCATACTCTGTTACTATGCTGACACATTGACCAAGGAATGTAATACCTAGTTGGGTAACTGACTTGGATGGCAGGAAATCGCAGAAGATTGTTTGGGACGCTATTGCAGAGGAGCTGGAAACGATTGAGCCTGGAAGTGTAGAGAAGATATTCAAAAGATGAAGCTTTTGAAACTACTCGGTTTTAGTGCTAGTTATTTTCCATGTACTTATGTAGCTTCCCTCTTTGGTTGATGATGCATCTGATCATATGTATCAACAGTAGATCAATCTTCTCCCCACATAAGTTTTTCCACTCAACAACCTCCAATTTTACTGAATGCCTGAAGAGTTTTACCACATGTCACTATAAGAATTAAATCCTGGTCTCTAAGCGGTCGAAGCATCGGAATGAGACCCTTCAATCGATTGCAGTAATGACCTGACCTCTTTATCGTGCAAGGAATAGACCCAAGGAAAGCTTTCCAGCTTTCTTTGTACATCAGTTTGACTTTGAAGATTAAGAGCTTGCATAGTTTGGCTTATATCCGAAGCTAGCCAAGTGTCATCAAGACTTTCGAAGATTGAAGCCTTTCCCATAAGTAATAGCCAGAGTAACGCCTCTGGAGATCCACATTGTCTCTTAGACAGTTCTTGTGTGGATAATTTAAGCAAACTAGCCAACAACGGATTGACTGGGACTTTTCCATCAAGTCCACGCATGAATGTCGAGATGAATGACACTAGGCCTAAGTGAACTGCATTCTCCAGAGAGCTTTTAGGACGGCAATGTCCTAGAGGATACAAGGACAGTAGACGATATCCAAGAAAAAGAAGTGTATTGTGAAGCTTGTGACCACCCAAAGGAGGACCCGTTCCGACAACGGCATCATTTAGCAACAGAGTGAAACTGATAGTATCTACCAGAAGAGTAAGGAGATCGGTGCTCAGTGGTAATGAAACTAATGCACAGGATATTGCCTTGTTTTTGTAGAAATCTAGATTCCTGCTCTCATGTGCGCAGAATGTATCATTGGATTCAATGTCTTGAACGGTGTATCGTGTGCAGGTGCCAGAATGGAGAGAATGTTCGAGATCAGCTCTATCTCACATATCAACATTAATCATGCAAAGAGCTCTTGATTACTTACCTGAATATTTTTTGAGCAAGAGTGGGCTGCTCCCTCCTAAGATTTGAGATGCCACCCCTCATCTTAACCATTCTTTCGAGTCCTTGAAGATGAACAAGGCCCTGGATGACTTGACCCTGCAACCTATAATAATGTGACATAGTCAACACAACCGCAATAGTAGTATCAGATGCGGCCTCGTTTCCAGATAGTTTTTCATTAATCAAGTGAAATGCAAGTGAAAGATGATGCATAGCTATCTTTGGATCTTCTCGATTTAGGACGAGACTATTGAGAGCCGTGACCGATACAGCTACACCGCAGTGTAAGCCTGGGAGATAATGAGTTAGTGATATTGTTTTGGTGTCTAAGAACAGAGTAGGTGTAGCTTACATGCTTCATCTAAAAGCATGAATTGGACGAATACCGAAGTGGATGACCGAGTTTTAATAAGAGCCTTGCTCAATTCCGCAGGGTATCCTATACTGCTTATGAATGAAAAAGCTGCGCAATCAACTCAGATTAGCAATAATTACCATCAAAGAAAGTATCACTAGATAGGTGTCGCCGTACTTCTCTGAATGATTTGCTTATCTTCGAAAGAGTGATGTGGAAATGAAAGACAGGGGATGTTATCCCCAACCGGGCGTTCGATCTCATAAGTGGATTTCTCCTCCGACTCATTTTGTTCTAGATGACTCGAGCCATTTTGGGCACTTCTCAAATATCTACAAGCGGAAGTGACTACATGTTTCATTTCGTTTGATTTCATTCTCGACGGTCGGACGAGCTTCTTTCCAGCATTCCTTCCCAAAGCGACGTGACTTCGAATGCGTTTTCGGACTGCATGATTGATCGTTGCATTATTGATAAATTCGAAGGGCATAGCTATTGATGTTATTTGCAATATCAGGCTGTCTCACTTGTGAGATGAATGGGAGAAGACGACGAGGTATGGATAAAGGCTCAAGTCTCGGAGTTAGTGGTGTTAACGAGAGTGGGTGCGAATGACCGTCACGTCGGAGCCGAGCACGTGAATGGAATTTTCACTCAACGACTAATACATATGTGGATATTTAGTTGTCAGACAGTATCATATTACAGGAAGATTACCGGTATTTTGTACATGTTATTCGTTTGGAAAAACAAAAACATAGATGTCTGGTGTCGATGTGATATCCCATATAATAAATGGAAAGGGAGGGTCTGATGCTTCCGGAGGAGAAAATGATTAATATTGAACTATCAATAGTGCAGTTTTCAAATTCGCATTATTTGACAACTGTGACACTGAAATTGAACACTCTTGACTTCTCCTCTCATTCTCATTGCTTTCAACCTCTCTAATCTCCTTCTGCTTCTCGCCGTTTTTTTCTTTTCCATTCTCTGTGTCCTCGCTGCCTACTTGCCATTTATCCTTCCCATCTCCTCTCACTGAGGCTTGCGCTTCTGCTTGTGGTTGTGATAGAAAAATTAGGAATGAGTGGATATAGATCCGTGCAACCACATTCTCAGCTATCTTCTAACGGCGCCTTTAAGTCCCATGTCGAAATTTAAACATCTCGTTTATGCATTCTCAAGCTTCCCGCTCCTAACATATCTCAAGTTTCCCAGAACAACTCAGATTTCATCAAATATCAGTACAATTCGGGTCATTAGTCCTAATTGCTAGGCTACTTGGTACCGCTCCCTCTGACCGCAAGTTTTCCATAATAACACTATGAATTGATATTCCGTCATTTGGCCCCAACCACTTCTGCCATGTACTATGTTCAGTCATAAATAATGCCGGGCCAAAGCCTTCCCACATCATGGCCAGCTCGTAAGAATGTTCTTCTGATCTGCCGCACATATCAGTCAACATTTTGTATATCCATAATCGACATTCGGCATGGTTCCAATTCCATTGTGGAATACTTTGCGAAGTAATATTCGGGCGGGTGTTCGTTGTGACTATATGAATACGCGGAAACGTATGCGGTGGAGTGCTTGGATGGGTTTGGGTGGCCGCGGAGGATTGATCCTTCACATCATGAGAGGGTTTAAACCATTGAGCGGAGGTTTCGGCAGCTGCGGAGAATTTAGGATTTGTGATGTTGTAGGGTGGAGGTGCTTCTATTGAGCCCAAAGCCTTCTTGCGATGGAATAAATTCTTCCAGAAAGAAATCATGCTTACAGAATTTGAGGTTTGCAGATAGAATTTGCAGATGAGTGTGTTTGTTTGTGAAATATTGTCGGGTAATCTGCCAACTATCTTCGAACAATAAAGTTTGACTAAGTTGGTAGTTGTAAACGATCGTACTGTAGCTTATACGATATTGCTTTTAGTAGAGGACCTAAAGCTCTTGACAACGATAGTCGATCATGTGCTCATTACTTGATCCCCCTAAAGTTGTTATTTTTCCTTGATTATAGGCCATTAGCCCCAGCCTGGCCTTCCACCGTTTCAATTAGCTTCCTCGCCGACCTGGTGTTCAAAGAATATCCAGACTGATAACTGATTATTCCCCAATAGTCGCCTCAGATATCAAAATTCACGTATTGATGCTGATTTCGGGTATGCGGAGACACCAAATGTGACAAGTATTAATTTCTAGAAATCCAAACTAGCTACTACCCAGAGTCCGGCTCTCATGAAAACAAAACAAAAAATGCTACCGTTTATGCAAACCAAACTTCATAAGTCTCAAATTGTTCGATCAGAAATTACCCGGTCCACGAGTCTAATCCTTCCGAATCAGTTCTCCTAGTTCGTCCAGCAATTCCACCGTCTCCCTGGGACTCGCAATCCAAGCCGTAGTACCAACAACTCTTGCCTTGAAATCATTGCTTCCGGCACTCAAAAATTGGTCTCCAACATGTAAAGTCTTGTCCTTTTTGATCCATTGACTTTCATCTTCGACATTTCCACCAAAGAACTTCTGACAGACCAACACTCCCCAGCTCTTATCGCCAATATCCACAAAAACATCATTTCCCCCATTGAAAGCACAAAAAGGCAAAGAACGACCGACTTCCGACATTTCGAGTTTCTTTTGTACAACTAATACAGTTTCTTCGAGTGACTCCCGTGCAAATTTATAGCCCGGTTCTCGAGGAACAATACCCACAGCTCGTTCTTTCCGAAGAATGATGGCAGGTAAATCGAGATTGGTAACACACTCGCGAAGGGAGAACTCCGCAAGGTCAAGAAGAGCAGTTATACTTGGTTGAGTCCAAGTGGACATACTGGGTAAAATCCATGAGCGACGGTGGTGATGGGTTAAAAGGTATGGTGAACTGGCGTCATAGGTGAAGAGGAAGTTGGATTCGCCGCCTGAATGAGCGTCAGAAATAAATGAGAACGAGAGTGTCAGAAAGGTAATTTACCCATTACGATAAGATTTTGCTTTTGCTCTGGCGTAAGAATGGTGGAAGCTTTGATTGCCTCCAACAGTCCATGAAGTCTACCATAGTACTTTTCAGCCTCAGTATACCCAGCTGCAGTTACAATTCCAATCTTGGTATTGTGGCTCATGAGATCTACAGCCATAAGCATTTCATCATCCAAAGTGGACTAGTACGACTCACTGATTATTCGCTCAATAACAGGGTTGGTAGGCTCAAGACTTTTACCGTCATCATACCTTCAAGGCTTTAGTTAGACAGCCGAGAACCTCGCATGAAGAGCATGACTTACAATGTAACATCACCATCAAAAGTTGCTAAATCCACCGATCCCGCAGAAGTAACACCCATGAGCTGGGCGGTGTTTAAAATAAGCCTGATATCATTGAAAGAAGGTGGAACAAATCGTCTCGACGAAATGAAGCGTTTTCTATCCTGATACCTGAAAGCGTCCGCCAGTGGTAGTCGAGTGAAAAATGTACCAATACTGGGAACCAGGAGTTTTAACTTAGATTGACCTCCTAAGCCAACTTTTTGATGGGCGACTTGACCGCTTTAGTATCTCGGCTTGCGTTACGAAGAATTATACTCACTGTGATCATCAATCATATCTTCAACATCTTGCATGATTTCAGCATAACGGCGGTGGGCAATCTCTGCCATTTCACCAATGGTTCCATTTCTAGATTCGAATACGCCGGTTGGCTGTGAATGTAGAACAAACGGTACAGCTAATAAACCTTTGATCCATTCTTTAATTGAGAGTTAGTAACCAATGTAAGAGCATTTTAGGAGCGCTTGCCCAAAGCGGAAATCGTGACTTCCAAGATCACGCGCGATACTGTCGTGTGCTATTCAATTACACAGCAGTATGACAAGTGGAAGCGTAGAAGCAAATTGAAAGTTGGTACCTATGAATTGATCTCGTCGATGGGTTTTAAGTGCATCTGAATAGAATTAGAATGGTCGAGTTGGTTGACGATATGCTATGGACACGTACACTCAACTCGAAATCTATCTGAACGGTGAGTATAAATGAAGAGTTACATGTGAAAGAACGGATACGTACCTCGTTGTCATTGTCGTAGAAGCGATGAAAGGAAAAGTATAATAGTGTAAGGCCTTCTACGGATGAAGAAGATAATTTTGTGAATCTTTGAAGACGAAAAAATATATTCTGATGTTGTCGAAGACGTTCAAGTATGGTTGGATTAAGTTGGGTTGGGAATGAGAAGGAGGTGGCCGTGAAGCATTGGCATTGTTGCTAGCGATTGCATTTGTTGGCCAATGCACAAGCAAGTGAGAGTGTTTGTTTGTAGGTTAGAACTAACCAATGAGATTCGACGCCGCATTCGATAGATTGATGTTCTCCTGTTGGCACTGCCGACTCCGCAAAATTCATCAATGGTGCGTTTTATTTATTACCTAGATAGGTAGGTAAAAGGAGTTTAGTTTCAACTTGGTTGATTCTGTTGACCTGACTGACTTGATTGAAGAAAGGATTGTATTTAATTGTTGAAAAGAGTCAACACGAAGCTAATTCTACAGACGGAACCTCCGCCTTTGAATTTGCCCCTTTCTTGCCATTGGCGAGCCACCCTGGTGCTTTTATAGAAAGCCAAGACACTCAATGCATTGCTTGAGCTCGGATTACAATATGCTAATGTTGAATCGATCTCCTTCTATTTATCTCCTGACTTGATTCTGGTTGTCATGAGTGCTTTGTATTATACCGAAACTTGCTTCCTCCTTAAATCTAACCAAGCATTCTTTCAACTCTCAGCTACTCCTACCAGAGAACCGCCCAGACAATCAACCCAACCTCCCTGGCTACCAAGCCGAGGAAGATTATCACGTGTATCTAATCGGAGTGATCTGGATCAAGCCGATCCTTGTCTCCTAGACCCCGCATACACGTAATCTTATCAGATCTTTATATAACGTAATTTATCAGTATGTGAGTCATATCAGTATGTGGGCCACTTTCATTTTAATTTATACTTTCAAATACAAATTATTCAACAATTATTATATCAATTAATTAAAATTATTAGAAATCTAATAATTTAGAATCTATTATATTTACTATAATATTTATTAGAAAATATTTCTTTATTAGAATTCCCTTTATTTTAATGCTTATTATATTAAACTTAAATACCAATCTTTTATTAAGATAATATATCAAAAGTTTTTTATTTAATAAATATTCCTTCTTGATATAATGAAGTTTTTTATATATATCAATATTTATTTAATATTTTCTTTGTTTTTCAGAGTGTATAAATCTCTTTATTCAAAAATATTTTTTTATAAGCTAATTTTTTTATATTTTTAATTAAAATTAATATAATTTCAAATGAAGATATAAAGGAATTTGATTAATATTAATTAAAAAAGAGTTTTAATTAGATTATAAAAGATTTGAAAGATTTATTGATTTAAATTAAAAAAGGGAGGGGTAGATATATAAATTTGAATATCTAATTTCGAAAATATAATATCAGAATTAAATAATATTAAATCTATTTTTCGAAATCCTGATTTTATATTTTGAGAAATGATTGATTCTTTAAATATAGTTTTAAAAGTTATAAAGAATTCAATCTTCAAAATATAATTAACATATATTTTAATAAATCTATTAATTTGATTATTATATAAACATTTTAGATTACTAAAATAGTTTATATTAAATAATTAAATTAAATAATTTAAATATAATAATAAATATGTATATTTAATATTATTCTTTTTATAATAATTTTAAAATAATTTCAATTTGTAACTTTTATATTCATATAATATTAATATTCGATATTTGCTTTTTTTCGATTTTTAATATACTTCTTGAAGTGTTTTAATTATTTTAAATCTATTTCATTATTTATGTATTTATTAGATATAGATTTAATAATTTATTTTATAGGAAAATCGATTTTAATATATTAATTAAAGAGATGAATCTTTTTTTGAATTATTAGAAATAAAGAAATAATTTTCTTCTTTTTATTTCTATATATTATTGTTATAGCTTATTCCCAATCATTTAATTATATTGATTTATTTCTATTATATCTTTTAATATTAATAACAATTATTATTATATTTATAATTCTTATTATAAAGCTTATTTCATTAAAATTATAGAAATCTCTATTTAAAACATTATATCTCATTTATATATTTGCAATCAATCAAAATTAGTTTTCAATAAATTTAGAGTTTTTGTAAAAAGTTTTTTGAAAATTATAAATACAATTAAAAAATATTTTTAATTTGATTCAATATTTTATAAATCAGTACACTTAAAGCTTTCTAATGTATTTTATATTTTTCAATTTAAGAATATAATTCGTTATATTTTCTATACTCTTAATTTTAAATGAATTATTTTTTGAATTTATATTGAATATATATTCAATAATAATATTCTTTTTTAATTTCAAAAGATTTTAAAATTTATATTAATATTCTATATAAAAAATAAAATTATTATTTTTATATTATAATATTATATATAAGATATTATATATTTTAGTAATTTTTTGAATACTTAGTTTTTTATATTTTTGAATAATTTCGATAACAAGAAATATACAGACTTCTTGATTATTCGAATTTATTATAGATTATTAATAAAACACATATTGAAAAAGAAAAGTATAAATTGAGATAAAAATAGCTTATATATTGATATAATCTATATGCTGATAAATTATGTTATAAGGTTATAGTATTAGTCTTTCTTTCTCGTGTTATATCTCTGAATATTTTGAAAGCAAGCCAACGCAAAGTCAAGAAAAAATTACTGCTTAACTGTTATCTTCACACCCAAAGAATACAACAAGATAAAGGAAGACGACACTGCTCTCTATCCAAACCCCGAAGTTTCTCAAGCGGTTACTCAATATTCTCTGGAACATTCAACCAAGCTTCCTCAATATATATTAGACCATCATGCTTGGGGATCGACTCAGCCAAAGGCCAATTTTATGATCTCGCCTTTCCAAGCACAGTTTCATATTTTTATGGCCAGGGCTATGGGTGCCAAAAGAAGTATGTTACTCTGTATATTGTTGAAAGCTCGAGTATGGCTGCTGTGTCTTGGTGGGATTGTGTGAGAATAAGATATATATTAGCCCTCAATTTCAAGATGCGTTTGACCGGTAGCATTTGATTTCGTGTTACCAAGTGGGAGCTCAATACATTCGCGAAGACCCTATACTCCATGCCAGTTCAAGCTATATTTGCCGCGTTTATGGAAGTATTCACGTATTGACTCTAGTAAATTAGTTCTAGAGATTGGAACCTACATTGGATTTTCTACCATGGGAGTAAGTTTCCTCATTTCTTGAAGATGATCTTGCACTCTATCCTGCCATCATTTGAGCGTCATGTATGTTAAAACCTACTCTAGTGGTCTGAGGCCGTCGGTCCCGAAGGTCACGTAACAGGCCTTGAATTTTCCCCCGAATACGCGGAAATTGCCCGCGAGACATTTTCCAAAAATAACCTCAATAATTTTGAGGTTTTGGTTGGTGACGCTCGTGAATCGTATGTCCGCTTTCTCTCTTTCCTCCAATCGCCCCTCAACACATATATAGACATTTTCTCTAAAAATTGTCACAAAATTAAAAGCTTGATCACCAACCTTCAAGAACCTTACGATCTGATCTTTATCGATGCCGACAAAACTTCATACCCTGCTTATCTCGACCTCATCCTCTCTCTTTCCTCCCCATCTTCTACGCAAGCCCGTCTCCTCAAACCCGGCGGTCTAATCCTCGCAGATAACATCCTGCGTCGCGCACGTGAGCACTATTTTCATTGATTATAACCTACCCAACACTTGGTTTCGCCCTCGTTCCCCTTTCATGTCCTACTTGCTCACCCACTTGCTCACCTACTTGCTCACCCACTGACTCTAACCATAGTCGTCGCTGATTCTAGCGCCGTAAACCCATGGGCCCTCAAAAACGGAGAAAAGACCTGGAAAGAAGGCGACTTGAATGCACTGAAGAAATTTAGTGATTTAATGGTTACCGAGGAAAGATTAGACACATTTTTGCTACCCTTGTTTGATGGAGTAGGAATGGGAAGATTGAAGGATTGAGATGTGAGATTAGATTGAAGGATATAGATTTGTATATATGATCTCTATAGTTAGAAGTATGTATGAATCATTCAGGTGTCAATAGAGTCATAATTTGAGGGTTTGCGTGATACTTTTGTGAACTATGGCTTTTATGTAAGCTGTTAGTGTCACTCAGCTGTATTGTTCGTTCATTAGCTATGCCATACCATTATTTTGATCTAATCTTGAGGGATTCAATGCCAGAATGGCCAGGAACCCTCTCCATGATTCAGTCGATTGGATGAGCTCAGCGCAGCTAAATGATCCAAAATTCAAGGGTTTCTCATTGTTGAATCGAAGTTGAATATTCTATAAGCTTGCACCTATATACAACATGATGGTATCATCTCACTTTCGAGGCTTCGTCCCACTTCCATCCAAGTCCCATTGTAATACAGAGATATGTGTCGAGAACGCCATCCACCATGCACCCGACCCGAAGGCAATAATCCTGTGCCATGCAATACAACTCCTCAAAAACTCTCAAAACAGAAGACACGCAGTTTAACAATCCTGGCCCCAATTCTCCTTGATCCACCCGGCCATCAACTCCGTCAGAGTCTCATTTCTATAACTATTGACATCTTTCTCCGTATAATCCGCCCCGGAAAAACGCAATGCAACCAGGACCCATGGTTTTATGAAGTCTATGAAGACTAAATCTACAGTCTCGGGATCTGAGCTGGTGGAGAGGATATTAATGCGGGATTCGATACAATTAGGTACACGATGAAAAGTGATGGGGGAATGAATTGTATCATCTCCATCGGAGCCGTTGTCATCATTAGTAGTATAGCCAGGAATGAGCTCGGGCCTTTGGGTTGAGGAGGATGAGAAGAGAGGAGATTGAGCTTTAGATAGCGGTGGAAGATCGGATATGGGTATGGAGGGCGCCAGGATATCCGTTTTGTAAGAGAGATGTTCAGGTGGTGCGAGATTATTGATATCTAGATTCGAAGATGAGAAGATATTGCCGCCGCTGTTAAGAAGTGGAAGAACTTGTTCGGCTGCAGCGATTGGCACGTCTTTGATATACATAAACTTGCTAACAAATGGAGAAATGATGAAGGTTGTATCTCTTGTAAAGGCACCTTTGAAAATATCAAATCTCATGGCACCTGTGTTGGTGATAGCTATTGTTGGAACATCTTTTCGATCGAGACGGGTCACAACATCAGGCATTACTTCGTCACCAAGCCACGAGAAAAGACTGTCTTTACTAGGATATTTTGCTCTGCTCATCCAGAGATCCTTTGGAGCGCAACCGAAATTGTGGTCGAGATTTAGGGCCTTCCGAGCTTTGGCGATAGAATTCGAGACATTCTTGCCATGCTCAGTGGGAAATGTTGTATCATTCAACCCAGTGTGAAAATGATAGCCAAAAAGGTTGTTGTCAATATACCTTCTTTGGAAGGACATGCCTGTACGTTCGGCATCCTTAGTGGCTTGTGCACTAGAAGTGTGATCTCCTTGGGACATCTTTTTCTTTTCGTTCTTCTTGATACCTTCAATGGACATCCAGCCAACAGTCTCCATATATCGACCGCTCTGTATTCCGTACGCCTTAGAATCGTATTTGGCGTAGCTTCGAATATGGCTATGGCCACCGAAGAACTGAATGGGAGTATCCCAATTTTGATCTCTCAAAGCCTTGTAAATGGCCTTGTACTCCGGCCCATCCAGAGTTACATGTCCAATAACCACAAACAAATCAGCATCTTCTCGAATTGCTTGTTGGAACCATTCTTCCTTAATAGTTTTTTCGACTTCTTGCACAACGGTATTGTTGGCGTTTCTATTGAAATCGAAGAGAAATCCAAACGCGACCACTTTGATCCCTTGATTCTTTGTTGTAAACTTGCGATATCGTTTTGCCATGGGAATCTGTTCACCGGTCTTTGGATTTATGTAGTCGAGATTTGAAGCAAGATAATTTCCGTTAAAATTTGGCACAGTTTGATCGTATTCTCGAGCGGCGGCATCTGCCTTGTATAACTCATGGTTTCCAGTACAGATGATGTCGATATGTTGTTCCCTGAAAATGTCATATGTGTATTGCCCTTTGGGTTCTGATGCATCGTACAATCCATTTCCCTCGATTCTATCTCCTGTATCGACAAGCAAAAGATCCACTCCTTTATCATCCGCTTGCTTCTTCATTTGCTCTGCGAATGATATGTAATCACCCCAGTCCGCAGAGTATTGGGCCCTGAGATATCAGTCAGCCTCCGTTCACTTCCACCGATTTGCAAACTAACTTACTCTTGTAGATGACCTGCATGCCATCCATGAGTATCTGTAGTTTGAAGGAAATTGAGTTGCCCCCATTGTAATGGTCTCATAGGCGCCGCAATAGCAGCTGGCGCAGAAGGTTGAACACCCGCTGCTAGAGATGTGAGAAAACCGGTTAAGGTCAACAGATGCTTTGCCATCGCCATGATGTCCTTGATATTATGAGCAATGGTATATGGGGGGTTAAAGTAAGTCCCAGACAGTGAGCACTACTATTCAGGATTTTGGAGTCTGAAAGTTGAAGTGAATGCTAAATGATGAGTGACTGCTGCTCGAGCTCATTGGGGTATGTGAAGTGAGTTTGTGCCAAACTACGGACACTTATTAAAGTGATAGGTAGTTGGGTAATATGCCTCTCAGATAGATAATGAACGATATGCACTCAGTACTTATAAGAAGGGTGGTAAATTCAGACGAGTGACGGACAGCTTAGATATGTAAATATGGAGATTGAGATTGAGATAGAGATAGATCAATAGATAGGTAGTCTGATAAGCTAAACTAATATCCAATATAGTCAATATAGTGAGACCAAACCAACCTACCTAGGTACCTTTGTATGGGTCTCAGGCAGAGAGTGATTGTCTTGTCTTGTCTTGTTTAATCATGTGGCGGGGAGCTTCTCTTGCTTCCTTCAAGAACCTTGAGAGCTACTACTCTACAGTAAGCAAGGTAAGGGGGCTCGGGGGGACCCATGAGGTCGGAAGGTCGGCGATCGGGGAAACTGTTTACTTTTTATCCGACAAGAGCTTCCAAAAGTCGAAAACCGTCAATTCTGGTCGAATTATGGATCGAAATTTACATGTGTGTTCATACTCCCCGGATATATGACTCGCCATATTACATGTAATGGCACGCACTGTCAGATGGCGGAAGGCTTTTAATTCTGAACTGTTCAGAGGCCAACTGCAGGCTAAGGAAGCAAGAGTGCATCCACACCAGGATACGAATGCCTTCATATCAGAACCAAGATTAATTCCCCCGGCTGATGACAAGTCAAAATTACCCATTCACAAGCAAGGTATTGGAAGTGTTCCTTGGATCATATTGATAAATGCTAATGGTACAAGAAAATGGCCTCAAAAAACTACTTCCTAAGGTATCGCGAGCTGTTGCCGTAAAAGACAATATAGCGACCCTTTCAGAAACAACAACATGCGCATCTCGTATTCTCGAAACATACCAGAGTCCTTTTGATGCTTCTGTGGTGGAAGATGCCAAAATTGGCACTGGAAATGTCGCGGGGAAGACGAATATGGATGAATTTGGAATGGGTTCGCATTCATTAAACTCACATTTCGGTGCTGTCCGTCACCACAAGCCTTTCCGTTCGAGATCGGTTGGAGGAAGCTCTGGTGGAAGCGCAATGGCTGTGGCAACAAGCACAACTAATATGGCGCTTGGCACAGATACTGGTGGGTCAGTTAGGTTGCCAGCTGCATACACTGGCACTGCAGGGTTTAAACCTTCGTATGGCATTGTATCTCGCTTTGGCGTGGTGCCTTACGCGAATTCGCTCGATACAGTCGGGTTAATAGCACGTAGTGCAAGTAGAATAAACGAAATCTTTTCAAGATTGAGCAGCCATGATCCTCGGGATCCTACGAGCCTCAAGCCCTCCAGTCGAGTCCGTATCAAAGAGCAGCGCATGAATTTTTTCGGTAAGACAAAGATATCTCCTACGCATGATCCATTTTACCTTCGAGAGCTGAAGATTGGTGTTCCAATCGAATACAATATCTCAGAATTGGACTTGGAAGTTTCATGGGCGTGGCAACGAATGTTGAAACTTCTTCAGCGTGAAGGTTGTACAATTATTCCCATGTCGCTTCCTAACACAAAGCATGCCCTCTCAGCATATTACGTACTTGCCGCAGCCGAAGCTTCCTCTAATCTTTCAAAATATGATGGAATAAGGTACGGAACTCGTGACCAATCGAGTGATGGGGCTGGAGATGTCCTCTATTCCGAGACCAGGGGTGCTGGCTTTGGAGACGAAGTGAAAAGGCGGATTCTTCTTGGGTCATATTCACTGAGCTCTGATGCTATCGACAATTACTTTATTCAGGCACAAAAGGTTCGGCGGTTGGTTCAGAGAGATTTTGACCGTGTCTTCTCCATGCCCAATTTCCTACGCCCGGAAGAACAATTTGATCTTAGTGATATGGAAGAAGGCATTGCACTTGAAGATAAACTGGGCCCTGCAGAAGTGGATATTATTCTTTGTCCAACAGCTCCCACACTTTCTCCAACTGTTCAAGACATTACTGAGCGCCAAACACCGGTTGATGCTTATATGAATGATGTATTCACAGTGCCTGCTAGTCTTGCTGGTATACCCTCTATCAGCATACCATGCAAATTGCCTTTTAAATTCTCAAAACAGAGCGTGCCTTCAACTGTTGGCATTCAAGTCATGGGCCAGCACTCAGACGATGGCCGCGTTTTACAGGTTGCCTCCATGATAGAGATGTTGTGGGACTTCCAAGTAGACAAGGGTTGGAACAAGGACTTCCACGAGTGGCAAGAACGGAGTTTGAAAGATTCAAATGCAGATATAGTAGTTTTGTCAGAAATGATAAAACAGGCCTCAACTTCCGAAGAGGCGGAAACGCTCAGGGAAAGGCGTGGTGAGAAGAAAAGGCAGCGGCGGGTACAAACCAGGGAGTTTCAAAGGCAAGTTTGTGAAGAAGATATGGACAAATGGCAGAAGTTGAGGTTTGGAGACGAAAAGTCGACTTCAACAGCAAGTCTAGCGAGGTGATTATTTTTTGCCTGGCAAGTACTCGACAACGATCGGATATCTTTATGGGAAAAGACCATACAAGCTTGTGGTAATGGTTTGAGATCATGTTTGATTGCAAAGATCTCGATAATATTCAACCTCTCGATTGTCGTTCGCTTGTTGACGCAACAACCTTAACCGTATAAAATATATGGCGATTGACAGTACACAAATGTACTTTCCATTCAGACGTAAGGCGTTTGTACAACAGCTTCCTGAGTCTCGCCCAAGAAATATCTTGAAGACTTTGAGGGTGGCAGCTATGTTCCTCAATAAGATTCGCTCATAGACAACGCACATATCTTGACGATCTACAAAGCAGAATAAATACTATTCAATGAGACAAAATTTAGATTTCTTGACAATCTAGACCATTTACTATGTGAGTAGCAATTTGTTTTACGGTGTTGAATTGTTTTGTTGGTATTCCCTCTGCATAACCATTCCGAACCACATTTTCCTTCCTATCCATTTTCTCCCCCTGGTTCCTAGCTTTAATCCACTGCCATCCTCCTCAACATCAGATTTTTTTACTGTCCTTTCCAACACCTCCCCCACGACATGGAATCCCCATTTCTTCCCTTCCTCTACCACTTCTTCAATCTCATAGACATAACTTTCGCCTCTAACTTTCGTCTTCTTTCGTTCAATTTCGTCGCTAAATCCAGCCTGAGACAATCTACCCATCTCAGCGTGCATATTGGTGATTAACACCCTTCCGTTATTCATATCCGAATCTGGTTTTAGTAGGAAGGTCACAGCCGAGAAAAACGTATCAAGGGGAAGATGTTCAAGGACGAGAGTACTAATAACCATGTTCGCTTGTCCTTGGATTAAACTCGAGATTTCGGGCTTGGATTGAACATTGAGGGCATTGAACTCGTCGAATTGGATGCTGGGGACATGGCTATCGTTTTCCGAGACGCAGAGGCTGCAATGAGACCGAGCAATCTCAAGCATTGCGGGCGAGAGATCAAGAGCGTGGATTTTAGAGATCTTTTTGGAAATAGGTGGTGAGAGGAACCGGATAGTATTCCGGCCGGTGCCACATCCTAATTCGGTGATGGTGATGCTATCTTGAGCTTCTGACGGGATGAAAAACAGCGTCTTGAATAGAGAAGGAATGAGAGCAGAGTCAAGAATTTGTAAAGGGTTGTGGTCTGTGTCGTAAGTTGCGGCCCAACGGTTATAAAGGAGGTATGTGGAAACCGATTCCTGGTGGGTAGTGGATGGGCTTGATGTAGGCATCTTCAACAAATTTGATAACTGCTGAAGAACTGAAGAACAAATTGTGCGACTTTACAAATAGGAATACAGCGAAATACATCGGTTATCGAGCAGATTATATAATAGGGGGGGTTGGCTAAACATGAGTCATCCGGAGGACATCATGCTATCATCTATGATAGGGAAGCAGCTATGCTATGATAGGAAGTAGCCAAAGGATCGACACGTAATTGAAATATTATTTGAAACCCCAATACATCGTAGTGACTTCAGATTCTCATTATCTCGAGGATTGTAGTTTTGCAAACGGAGAAGTGAGAAAGGGTGATGATTCTGTTCTTTGCTGCTATATTGGTTCTCGGAAACTACCGAATTTGAAGATTTTTGATTGGACAGTGAAGGAGTTTTTCAGAAATGTAGTGAAGCCGTCGATGCAATATATTTGAATGCGCATTTTAGTCTGCACCGCTCGAAATGCCACTGTGATACCGATTTGCAGCAAGATGTCGTGGAAAGCATAGCATACATGCACCTCATTCTGAGACTTATTCTGAGAGTCGGAAGAAATGAGATGGTGGGATAGAATGTAGACATGCCTTTCGACCAAAAGGGTATAGCTGAAGTGTCTAGTCTTGATGTCACAAGCGCAAATAGATGCAAAGAATGAATGTACGTAGTAGCTTGATTAAAGTTGAGGTGTATATATATATATATATATATATATACCTACTTAGTCGATAACTTCGCTCTTAGCTAAGCTCCTACTACTGCTACTATTACTACTACTGCTACTATCACACTGCATTCACAATAATTAAATGCATCAAAATCCACAAATCACACAACTTCTATATTCATGTAACTTATGTATTTTAATTTAATATAAAACTTGAATCAAAGATCGGATGACTGTTTTTTGTGATAGCTTCATTGGTTCTCCTTCCGCCCTTTTAAAATGGGTCAGTCATTCTGTACCACCAATACAAGCAAAATAACTTGACATATATTCCCTAGTCGATACGGAGGTACGGTACAGTCCCTAGCACATACATATATATAAACAAACAAACGAGCAAACGAACAAACGAACGAGCAATATAATACGATACGATGTGAGAAATGGTACTGATCTTCATTCTTTTACTCCAATTGATTTCACACACCTGTTTTTGCTTCTTCTCGTTGTTTCTACAATTTAAGTTATATTAGATTGACTGGAGTCTCAGTACTCGTTGCTCTTGATATTGATCAATAATTCGAGGGAAATAATATACAGACAGATACATACATACATACCAATCTTTTCCTCTCTTCATATACCCCATGAACTGTATATCTATTGTATCTTGTACAAATATATTTATTCTTTTTCCTCTCGACATCTACATACATTACCTACATCACATACATTCACACATAATTTCAATGTTAATGCCAATTCCAATTCCAACTCCAACTCGCATTTCATGTCATAATATCATCATTTGAGTTTCATACACCGTTTTATGCGGAGTACACCGTTGTACTAGCTATCGATTCTTAATCAACTGAAAACTGGATCTTTCTGCAGTCTCACAAATTGCCGGTTCATCGCATCTCCATATTCACTTCATTTCACCCGCCACCTTGATATCACATCAATTCATTTTCCTGGGATCAAAGAAGAGTTCCTAGATAGGAAATCGCAAGCAAAGCTCGAGCCAATTTGATTTACAGTCTCTCTTTACTTCTTTTGCAGTTACCATTCATCCGCGTCTTTCACTCGATTGAATCTCTCATTCTACCCAAGTACGACGGATAAATCTCGAGCATTCAACCTTTGGAAAATCTGTTACGAGCTCTAATATATTGTCTGATTCTCATTCAATCTGCCATTTTGCCAATTGCAAGATCTCTACCAAAATCGAACATTCAAGAAATCCATCGCGGATATGCCGATCAATGGCAAGCCCAATGGGCGATTTGAACTTCCTGCTCTCAAATCCTTTGACTTCAATTTGACTGACGGGACCGATATCCCGCCGCCCCTTCCAGATTCTCCAATAGAAGAAGAGGCACCCAAACAGACTATTGCACCTACACCCACACCTGCACCTGCACCTGCATCTGCATCTGCACCTGCGGCATCGACACCTGCAGCCACTCCTCAAACCGCCGATCCTGTTCGAAGCACATCTACTAGTACACCTCCAGCGTCAGCATCTGCAAATAATCAATCAGACTTTGCTCACCTCACCACGACGAAATCCAATGGTTATTTCCCACCTACCTTCTCATCTCCTCGCAATCATGTTCCTCCAGTTCGCGTGAGAGCCCCTTCAGACGCTGCTGTCCCGAATAGTCCTAGTCGACCCGAAAAAGAAAGTAGTATCCGCAAATTCTTGTCTCGAAAATCACTCAACACCAATTACACAAATGGGAATGCGAAATCGCATGAGGATTTGTCAAAGATGGGGAGACCGGAGAGTCCAAATAGTCTTGCAAGCAGCAGACCTAGCTTTGTGAAGCGAAAGAGTGGAAGCTGGTTTAGGAGTTTTGGGAGCAGCAGTAAGAGGAACAGCGTGGTATACGAGAATAAGCCTGTAGTGTATACTCCTACTCTACAGCAGAGTCCAGAGGTTCAAAAAGAGAATATTAAGCCAGCATACACGAAGCCTGGCCCGCCGCCGCCAAAATTGCCGGAACTCGATCAATTGAAAGCTAAGCTTGCGGATGATGATCGTGGTAGTTTTGGGGGCGATGACATGTTCAGGAACATCTCGTAGTGAGGTATTCAAGCGAGACGGTTGTGGAATCCAAATGTTGCTTTTGGGTAATGCTATCTGTTACGACACAAATCTCGCTACAGCACTGGCAGAATACTCGGATGAGAACCATAATTATATCTGCAGCGATACGGACCGAGAGATGCGAACGGGAGGGCACGAAAGGGAAGCAGGAATACCATGTACTATGAATCAAGCTTGAGAGGGGGACAAAAATGCTAGTTTATCTTTTCATTTGTTTGGCAGGGCGCCCTTCTTTTTATCGATGATATCTCTGGGCGGTGGTCTTTATCGGGGTCTTGTTTTATGCTGACTACAGTATCAAACAAAACAACATTTTAATGTTGGCTTTATGTGCCATGATAGTTTATTCTCGGGGTACCAAAATACTCATACCTATTAGCCTTTTCTGAACAAAATACAGTAGGGGATTTGCATGGTCGGAGGGCCCTTTTTTACTCGAATAAGATATTGGTTTTCTGTAATAGAGCTATGTAGTGAAGGCTTCTTGCATTCTCTCTCTCTCTCTGTATGTGTGTGTGTGTGTGTGTGTATCTCTTTCCTTCTCCTAGTCTCCCCCTTTCCCATTCATCAATCATTGATCTCATTTATTTGAATGCCGCCTTTCCGTATCTATACAAATCTATAGACTGTATGTGATGTATGATTGATTGTACATTCCTCCATCCATTGATGTTTCATATTAATATGCATTATTATCAGCAACTCCAAATCCCTATCTCGAACCTTCTTTTTCCCCATTTTGCATGATGGTGTTTGAGAAAAATGGCAAAAAATACCAAGGGTTTTTTTATTAATTTTAAATCTAAATCTAAATCTAAATCTAAATCTAAATCTAAATCTAATTCAGGGTATCATCTTATCATCATTGCATTTCGTGCCTGGAGCTATTTAGTATCAAGCTAGATCCCGCGCCACGTGCTATCTGTAACACTGAGACACTGTAATCACCCTATAAATGTGACATTATATGACATTATATGACATTACGTGAGGCTATGTGAGGCTATGTGAGGCTGAAGAGGGCTTGATTTGGGGGGTATAGTGGGAGGGAAATCCCTGTATTTACAAGCTTTGTGGCCCTGTGGTTCTGTGGTTCTGGTTCTATCCAACAAGGCTGCTTACTTGTCTGTGATGCACCAATGAATGGGAAACTTCGGCAATAAACGTCATAAACTTTTATCAAAGCCGCGGATGTATGATATAAAATGATATCAAATAAATGAGTGGAAATATTACAAGAAATAATTTCAATCTACATTCATTAATTTGCCCATCAACCAATTAATCCTTTTCTCTTTCGTGCACTCCGAATTATCAAACAGGATCTTTTGGAACGAATAATTGAACATGGCGAGTCCTGTTCAATGCAGAGCAATAGCTAGCTCCACCACAGCAATAAGCTCGAGAGGAGCTTTGATTTCTGGTGTGTTGAGCAAACAATGTAAACAGAATCGCTTGGGGAGCTTGGTGGCTCGTAGATACAAATCTGGTCCATATGGTTATACACAAGCTAAAGCACTTGTGTATTCTAAGTATGGGGAGCCGGCGGATGTCTTATCGTGAGTTTCCTCGACACTATCTATTCGTTGTCTATGTTTGCATGTGCATTTACCTCAAGTATTTATGAACATAACTAATAGTGATAAACTTCTAGTCTTCACAATCACTCCATCTCCCCTTCCCTTCCTTCCAAATCTATTCTCCTCCGCACTCTCGCGACCCCCATTAACCCCGCCGACATAAACCAGATTCAAGGTGTCTACCCCTCCAAACCCCCCTTCACCAGTCTCCTTGGGACCGAATCTCCCTCGGCCGTAGGCGGCAATGAAGGATGTTTCGAAGTCGTGTCTCTCGGTCCCGGCATATCAACCCTTTCGAAAGGCGACTGGGTGATTATGAAATCGACTGGGTTTGGAACATGGCGCACACATGCTATAGCGGAGGAATCCCAGGTTCTCAAGATTGGCAACAAAGAGGGACTGAAGCCCATTCAGGTCGGCACTGTGAGCGTTAACCCGTGCACGGCTTATAGAATGTTAAGAGATTTCGAGAGTATGGTGGAGGGCGATTGGTTTATACAAAATGGTGCGAATAGTGGGGTGGGGAGAGCAGCCATACAGTTGGGGAAGAGGTGGGGATATAAGAGCATCAACGTTATACGGGATCGCGAGAATGCTGATGAGACCGAGGCGATGAAGAAAGAATTATTGGAATTGGGTGCCACGAAGGTGGTGACCGAGTCGGAATTGATGGATCAAAGTTTCAGGGACCAGGTCAAGGAGTGGACGAGTGGAGGCAGAGAAAAGATTCGTGTAGGACTGAACTGCGTGGGCGGACAACCTGCAGGTGCTTTGGTGAAATGTTTGAGTAATGGTGGTCATTTGGTTACGTACGGAGGAATGTCTAAGAAACCATTGATGCTTCCTACTGCAGCTTTGATCTTCAAGGATATCAAGTTTAGTGGTTATTGGGTTAGTAGGTGGAGCGATAGCCATCCAGATGAGAAGAAGAAAACAGTCGATGAAATTTTGGAGATGACGAGATTAGGTATGTTCAAGGATATTCCGGTTCAAGAACTCAAGTGGGATTGGGAGACAAAGGAGGATGTATTGAAGTCGGCAGTGAGAGAAACCTTGGAAGGATTTAGGAGTGGAAAAGGAGTTTTCATTTATGGAGATACGTAGATTGTGGTGGGGAAGAATGAAATAGAATATTATTGAGTGGTGCTTTCTTAATTTTGAGAGTGATTATTAGAGCGCTCACTCTGCTAGGACTCGTCCTTCTTACATTTTACACTATTGTCAGCTTTCTCTTTTGAAAAAGGAATGACCCAAGTTTTCATCAATATATCTGAATTTAAACTTTAAGCACATAACAAAAGTTGATTCGGACCTCAATCCTCAGAAGCTCAAGCGAGTATTACTGAAAATCCGCAAATTGTATGTTTCCTTATAGATTCCTGGATCTTGAGATCGCTAGCGGATTTCTGTCAACCAGATTGAAGTTCTCTTGAAGATTGCTACTTTTTGTACAGCGACGAAAACTATAGATTGTCAATCATTTTCTTGCGCTTTCCTTTAGCGATGGGATGTTTGGGTTTCAGCCTTAATGCCCTGGTGATCGCGTCTTAGTCCTGGAGTCAATTCGGAAGAGAAGATGCGTGTTCTGCCCGAACTGAGTATATCCAGGGTGAAAGTTCCTCTCGTCGTTGCTTGCGATTTGTAGCTTATCGAAGCCGTATCCTGCTATTCTTCAATCTAGGATCGTGGTACAAATTACTTCCGCACAATCCTATCTAAAATGGAACGAGATGATCCTTCCAATTGATTTGAAGCACAGACAGTTATACGTGAACTTACCTGGAGATTATTTCTGGATAGCTAGTGTTAATTCAGTCACGGTGCTTTGGAGTCGATTGGGTATTAGGAAATGTTTACTCCGGTGGTACATTCAATTGTCAGTATCTATATACATATAAGCCGAGTCACAACTGGCCCAATCTGATGACATTCAAATACCAACCACAACTAGTAACCTCAGCTAGAACAACAAACAAATCGCATCGAAAAACCAACGGATACGATCAGACCAATGTTTAAAGTTAAAACTGCATCATATCTCAATTGATCCTCTCCCTCTCGTCCCACAGACTCATAATACACAACTCAGCAAGCTGATAGCTCTTTTGCTAATGAGTGGAAACCAAGGAACCAACATGTATTGCCCATTCTCATTCCAGACGCCTTTAGCGAGGATGACATGTTAGCCATACGAATTATTCCTCCTTTACTCGGTCAAGTTTTTTTTGGGGTATACATTAATATTCAATGGCCACTACGCAAAAGCAACTTTTTTACTTCCACTCCCATAACTCAAGTACTTGTCTGAAAATCGAAAATTCTTATTGTAGATATGCTAAAATAAGCGGTTGTTAGCTAACAAGTATGTGACGAGGGAATGGTGATACTGCACTTCAGATTCCTTGAAAAATTTGTTGGATATGCACAAAATGTCAGAGAATAGCAAAGTATGGTATTAGTTTCATGGACTCCTATGACATAACCCGCGACTGATTGTGTGACCGCTGCGAATGAAGAGCCGGTGTGAGCTTAGCTGGTAGTCCACAAAGAAACTCATATCAAACTTTAGATAAGTGTTCAGCTTTTTCGTCAAGCCAAGCAAATTATAAATCACATATTCTCATGAGCAATGCATCGCAAATACTCAAGGTTGAAACACAAAATTCATGTTTCATCAACGTTATTGGTTTCGCGCAATGTTGCATAAGAACAAGTAAGCCACCACCTGCAACAGCCTCAATCTGTCTAACCCATCTTCACTACCACTTTCTTATTACCAATAGCAAATCACTTCCAATCTGCCCCTTCTTCACCTCCATCCACTCCACGAACATGAAAGTAAGAAAGATAAATCCCCTCCCATCCCCATTTGCCCATCCTCCTGAAACGCCCACAAACCAGCCATGCATGCAGACCGAAAAACTCCCCAACCCATCCCTAGCAGTTCGAAATTGAACCTGATCTGAGCGAAGAGACTAGAAAAAAGAAGAAACAACACAAGATCAACCATGACGTTGCGCCGCATCTCTAAATGCTTCTTCCTGCATCGCCAATAATTGTTCTGCTGTAAGACCCGATTGTTCGAGTTTATTTGCTTTCTTTTCTCTTCCCTATAATTTTGCTTAGTTAGTTGGTATTCTGCACATCCTGCACGGGTGGATTGACATACCTTCAATTGTTCCTTGTGCTCACTTGCTACATCCACAATATCCTTGACATACTCGCTAAAGCCCAGTTGTTCCAAGGCCTTGGTAATATGTTCACACGCGATAGTTTTCTTGCTTTCCTTTTCGGAAATTTCATTCGCTTCGGACGAGATGAGCGTAATGAATTCGACACAGCATTCGATTAGGAGATCGCGGGCATCTTTGCCAAAGGCTAGACCTGAGCTGGCAGGAAGAATTTCGGTTACTATCTTTTGAACAGTTGCTAAAGAGAATAAGGGTTAGTAAGCTTTTGAAGGGGGAAAGTAACATTGGTGAATGAGGATGACAGCGGAGTTATGGCTAACTCTTGGATGCAGAGAAAATTTGTCATCAGATGGCTGTGCCTGGAGACCATGTACCCGGGCCATCGATTATATCCAGACGAGAATGTTCATTTGAGGTTCTTTTGAATGAGAAACCAAACCCAGGATCGGAATTCCTATCCTGCCCAAGGGCCCCAGAAGACTGGAAAGTTGGATTTGACCTGACATATGGCGGTGCCATGTCCGAGAAGCTGTTTAAGAGAGTCTCTCCAGAATTATTACAAGTTTCTGACAATTGCGAAACTCTGTAGAGGTAATCTGAGATCTCAAATGGTACTAAATTTCGCAACGCCGAATGTACAAATGCAATATGCCGTCTAGCCTTCTCTTCTTCATTCTCTCGTAAAGAAGGCGCTTTAAAGATTGACTCGCTAGCTTGCAGACTTGAATGTCTTGCGGAAAGCCTAACGACGGTACCGCTATGAGGAATTCTGTCCTTGTGATCTTGACCGCCTATATCTATATCTGGCCGATCTCGTGCGTGGAACATGAGTTCTGTCTGTGCAGAGACTGTCGGAAAAGAATCGGTGCCATCGATTGTACCATTATCTTGAGTATCGGCGAAGGAACTTTCACCATCCGAACAGGAACCAAAGCAACGATCAAGGTCTGGATTGCAGGGGCCATCCCCTGTTACCTGTGGTTGATATGAATGCTGTTTCGTTGTTGGATAAATAATGGAAACTGGCTTTGGAAGAATCCGACCTCGGATAGCATTCCTCCGCCTTGGAAGCATGGTGGCACCAAGGCTCGATGTTCTCGGACTAGGGACTGGCCTAGGACTTCTTTTGATCCCAGTGTTCATCCGCTTCGATTTGTAGATACTGGAGGGAATGGGATCGATTTTCCAGAGTGTAGAACGATTAGACTCAGGACAAAGTGACCTAGAAGTATACCTTCGAGAAGTTGTATAGTCCCCATTGAAGACTTGAGTCCACGAAGGGTTTTGTAGTAGAGGATCCTTAAAGGCGCCAATAATATGGTGGCTCTGTTGTTTATGATGTTTTGTTGGAACTGTGTCAAAATTGTTCAGGTGGAAATCTTGGTGTGTTGCAGAACGTGATCTCGAAATTGACATAGAAACCTCTTTATGCCATGTTCGGATATCTTCCAGCACTTTCTGCACATGTTCGAGACGCTTGCCACTGAGGTTGAGTCTAGACGAGGATCTTGACCAATCCGAAGTCTCGGGTGAAGCTGAAAGATACCGCGAAGTCGAACACACTTTCTCCATGTTCTTCAATGATGACCCGAAGGCTAGACTTGATATTCGCTGAGGAATGGTTATAGCCTCCGTCCACAACGTGTTTCTCTTATGCAAATAAAGTGACCTATGATATGAAGATGGGAATGGAATACAGGTTAAGTCTAAGTCACTATAGTGATAATCTGATTCATTGCACCGAAAGTAAGAAGCTTTCGAAGTAATTGATGAATTCAACTGCTGAGACGAAGGGCTAACCTCTAATTTTTGGTAGTGGGCGTACTTCTTGCATGATGATGCTGATGACTTAGGGTTTAAGGATATATCGTAGTCGACAGTGGGAATTGGGGCCTTGCTCACTCCCCTCGTGCGGGAAGAGCAATCGCATTCGTTGTCCATGGTTACGGATAATAATGATGATGAGGATTGAAAAAAATGAAAGAAATGTTACCTTTAGGAAGTGAGAGATCATCGTTACCTGCGAAGGAAGTGCGTTAGCTAAGTCTGTTTGAGTTCATGTAGCGGAATGCAGCAATATAAAGGAAAAGGAAGGTACTTGGATTGGTCGCGGTCGTCATCTTGATTTTGGTTTGAGTATGAGTATTTGGAGGGATTTGGTAGAAGCTCAAGTCACAAATTTGTCTTTAACTACTAAAGACTCTCTCATGGATGCTTCTTTAAGAAATAACCATTCGAGCCACTTGTTTCTTAAGGGCTCTTTCCTCCGAATCACTCCGTACAGTACAAGGTCACGTGACAAAGGAGATTCACTCGACTTACTTGAAAATTCCCTGTCGGACATTTTGAAAGGAAGTGAACAACGTAAGGTGCAATAAAAGTTTTGAATGATAAAGATGAACCAGCTGGTTTCCGAATTATTTTTGGTTGGTGTCAATGAGGAGCGATGATCTTGTTCCGATATACACGTGATTTTGTGTTTGTAAGCAGAAAGTGAAGTCAAAAAGTTCCAGAGTCGCGTTTTGTCTGCGGGAACCTCTGGATTTATCATGCCCTTTTGTATGCACTCGCGACGCAAAATGGCAACTCAAAATCGCACTAAGCGTCATTAGGGTTACTAAGCGAGAATTTTCGAAAGATCCAAGAAAAAAATATGTAGACTTCGTTCTAACAAAGCAAGCAATATCTAGGTACTGTATAAATATATATCCCTCATGGATCTCGCATTTATTCAATTCTGCCACGCTGACACTTATCATTCAACGAACTGTGAATACAAGTGAATAGGATACATATCAGTGCTGTACCTTGTTCACTCCGCATCCGTATCTACCAATAATTGCCATCACATCAATAGAAAGTGGCATCTTCGGAGGAGTCGCGTCAAGGCGAGTACTTCAACTGGTGCTTTAGACGCAATAGTATTTAATACATCTGAAAGAATATGCAAATCCGTCAATCCTTCTGATCTCCCGATAGTCTGGTATCGTACAAGATAAATGTACAAGAATGCGCTCAGTATAGTCGCTAATGTCATGATACCCCTTCCCAACCTCAAAACTCCATGGATATACATTTATAACAACTTTTTTAATCATCACCTATTGGACACTCGTGGGAATCTTTACTTGTCCCCTCTTTCTATCCATCAAAGGTCTTCCATACCTCCAACCTGTTCCACGTGCTCCTCTACCGTCTTTGCCAATGTCGTCAACATTGATTTCCTTGATTCTAAACTCCCATCTAGGTGTATGGACTTTCATTATCTTGGCTTCTTCCGCTGCTTTGCGATCAGCTATACGTTGCCTGGCTTGTTCTTCTGCCTCATCTCGCGCATCTTGTCGCGCAGTTCGTTCCTCTCGAGACAATCCAGCTTTGAAATCTTTATGCATCTCAATCAATTCGGGGTGTGGTATTCTTTTGTCTGCGGGAAGAAGTTTCTCGTCGAAAATCTTCGCAGCATCCTCTCGGGTAAAATGTCTTGATTCTGAAGTGGGGTGGAAAATTTGTTGTCCCGTTGCTACGTGAATAGGTAAGTCATTGATCGATTCGTGTGTGGTTCTACTGGTTCCTGTGTTGAGTTGCGTCACAGGGACCATCGACATGACTGCGTCGGCATATGGTCTCGCAAGAGGTTTTCCCTAGCACAATGGACGTTAACTTGTGTGCTGTTGAAGACAAATAACAAAATAAAACACGTATGTAAATAACTTTCAGAGAGGCTCGCATGCATAATTTTGTAACCATGTAGTTGTCTTGAAGACTAATCGAATTTTATAAATCATCACGAAGTATGTTAGGTTGTTGAAAAAGAAATCTTGACATACCGCTCGTTCCCATTCTTTCTCTATCTCCTTCAAACGTACCACTGCTCCCACGCGGCTCATTTCAACTCCAAGTTCGGCACTCACTTCTCTCACCGACTTAGCGTCCTGCATAATTTTTGTCCAAATGAGCTCTCGCAGTTCTTCGCTCAACACCGATTGACTTATAAACTTTCGATTGCCCGGGAATGGTATCATATCTCTCGCAGTTTGTGGCGGCAATTCCTTGTTGCCATTTGCATCAGGCTCATTTTGACTGTCGGGCTTTGGAGCACCATCTTTCCGCGCATCCGCCGCAGCTTCCACGACTCTTTTTAATTTGCCATCGGCATTGTAGGCACCCATGTAATTCGTCGAGTTGTCTAATGGGTTTCTGAAGTTCTCTCCTTGTGTGCCAAGCCACCTGAAGAGAGATCGCCTTGCTCTGGTAGCTCTTCGTGCATTTTGTGGCGGGGTCAATGAGAAGGATCGTGAAGGTACTTGATTAAGAAATGACTTTGCATAGGCGGATCCAGACGCGAGTAAGTTCGGACATCTTGAAGAAGGATTCATGATAAAAACAACTCAATTGAGGAAGTGAAGAAAGAGAATTGAGGGTGGTTTGATAAAAACCGTGGGGTCCCTCAGTGAGGAAATTTCTAAGTTACACTTGGGATCAAAGCTCCAAGAAAACGCTAAGCGAAATAGTCACGTGTCTACATGATCTTGAGGCATTTCTCGGATCTGACTGCTATTGTTCTTCTAAGCAATATTGTGAACAGCCGGTGACTCTATGATCAAGTTCTTACGAATCCTTTCTACCTCATCAATTGTAAGACCACATTTCTCTATTACGTATGATTCAGCCCCACCAAATTTCTCACGGAGCATCTTAAGAGTAGCGAGCATGTTCTCAGCTCTAGCTTTTGTTAGCAATATATCTTTTTCGAGGGAAAGTACCACATACTTGGAGCTAATTAAATTTTCTGCCCCTTCATGATCACCTTTGATGGCTGGGTGTGCCATTAAATGCTTGATGATTCCTGCTTTCCACTCTTGCGGAAGTCCATATGTTGTCAAACTATATTCCCGTGCGACAACCTCGTCGTCAACTCCACAGAGAGATAAGATCAATGCGCAAAGAACGCCAGTTCTATCCTTACCAGCTGTACAATGAACGATCAATGGTTTGGAAGGTTCATTTGCAAGGTGGAGAAGAATAGTTCTGTATGAGTTTGGAGCGTTGTTCAAGATATCGGTATATGCCCGAGTGAAACCCTTCAGAATGCCATTTAGCTATATTTTCTCTCCACAGCTTCTAATCATGAAAACCTACCTCGGTATCCCTTGAGGCATAATCTTTAAATCGGATGGCAATTTTTTCCGGGCTATAGTCCTCCGCCGGGAATACTGGTGCGAAGACTCGCTGACAGCCCTCCCACTCTACCACTCCACCCCTACCAGCGGCCGCACCTTTAACAAGCTCATCTTGAGACCTCAAATCGTAGATATGAGTAATTCCCAACTGCTGCATAGTGACAATTCCCTTCTCGGTAACTCTTTGAGGCTCACCACAGCGATAGACGACCCCCTGTCTTACGGAATGCGAAGTTGGTCCCGATGCGAGTGGATATCCGCCTAGATCTCGGAAGTTGGGAATTCCTTCGACGGTTATGAACGGAGGCTCAAGCGCCTTTTCGTGAAGAGTTGAAGCCATATTCAAGATTAGAGAACTGTTTCGTGAATGATCTGATTTCCTGAATCGTAGAACAATAAAATAATTTATATGTTGGTCAGGTAGGTGTCAGATAGACGTGACTACAGCATATGAATTTAAACGGTCAAGGCTAGCCGAAGCGACTCATAATACCAGCACCCCAGTGTACTTCATTGCCACGACTGAGCCCCCATTATCAACCAACGTTTCATTCGGATATTCACAGCATATTTTCGGTAAATATCATTCATCAAATCACCATAGATTAAAACTTCATATCTGATGCTTACTAGGTATTGTTGTGTAAAGTAACTATCCATCATCTCATAATCTGACAACAAGCTGCGGAAATCAACCAATCTCGCCACTTAAATCCCTTACGCATGACTTCAGAATCCATTCATCCCAATATTGATCCCCACAACATTGAGCCTATCGTCATGCCTCACAGAGAGCCCAATACACCGGAGCCACAAACACAGGACTCTGCAGAGCGTGTAGCTCGCATACGGATCAAAAACCGCAGGAAATTGTACCTTGATCGCCATCCATCATATTTCACTGCCCCGGACCTAGAGCTTGCAGGTCAATTTTTGCTATATTGACTTAAATAGTCTGATAACTAATTATATTCAGATCCCTTATTGTATGACCGATGCATCAGGAGATTCCAGACTGCCGCGGAAAGAGAAGCAGATGGACGAGCAAAAGGTTATTCTGGTAGGCAAATCTTCAATGATTTTGATCGTCTTTAGTTCTTTTGATGGTAATAAATGTCTCTACCAGGTGTATTGGAAGCAGATCTATATCGATCAGAAGCTAAGCTTGCTGCACTGAAGGGCAGCTCTGATTCGCGCTCTAAGAATGAAGATGAAGGTGTTGGGCGCATTCAAGAAGATCACGGGGTTCCATACTTGAGCTATGCCAGAGGTCAGAGTGGTGAAGTTTTACCTGAAGATCCGGAAGAAGTACCGAGGAGTAAGGAGGACGGCTTCGAGAGATGGAAGTTTGAGATGACACTCAAGTTTCTTAGGGGGGAAGATGGTGATTTTGATTACCAAGATGTAGATGCTGGTGGAGAATGGGATGAGATTGAAAATAGGGACGTTGAAGAGCGATGGTTCGAGGATGAGGAACCGGAATGGTTAGGGGAAGAAGAAACTGGGGAAACAGTTGGTGGAGAAACTGGGATACAGGATTTTTAGATGGTGGATAATGCCATGATTTGCATCCTTCTTACGATCGACTTGGACGAATTATCATGCAGCATGGCACTTCTTAATTAGACTGAGCAAATAAACAATGTGTCGTGGGAGACACGCAAGGCTTGAACACTTCCGAATGTTGCAGGTGTCTAAACACGTGATTAATATTTTCAGTAGATTTATTGTCCCAGAACAGATTCAGTATTTCCATGTATTGCACGGTTTTGGTGGATGAAAAGGGTTCATTGAGTGGTGCACAGTGTATTCGTTGTCTTCCGGATTTGGAAAGTTACATTTGCGTGCGCGGAGTAGGTAGCGGATTCACGAGAGTATGAACCTACCTAGGTAATTTCAATGTTTCGAAATTGAGTCAAAAAATCGAGCAAGATATAAGAATCTAAATATGATGTATGTCGGTATAATGCGATCTATCTTTAACGTGGAGGATGGGGGGCGATGGTATCAAGAAGTATGGACGTTTACTGAGAACATGTATCTTAATACAAAAAGCAATATCAAGGGTCACATGGACTAAATCATTCACCGTCTCGAAGGTTATCGCCTTTATCGATAAGAACATCATCATAAGGCTACTCTCTACCATTGACTCAACCGTATCCCACATACATATAAAATCCAACCCGCATTTAACCTTCCGGATTCCTTTCAACCCACCTCAATAAAATCATAAACGATAGGTAAATCTTGTAAAAACCATCAAGATAAACATCTCGCAATATCTTTGAGACCCCGCTCAACATCAAAGGAAGCAACCCCGCCATCATGAACTTCCTCCACAGTACTCTCGATAGACTTCGAGAATTTACACCCGTTTCTAATACTTCAACCTTTCGCACCAATGGACAGATCACACCAGAAGAATTCGTAGCAGCTGGAGATTACTTAGTGTTCAAGTTTCCAACATGGTCATGGGCTGATGCATCCCCAACAAGCAAGCGCGCCAACTATCTACCAGCTGGCAAGCAGTTTCTAGTTACCCGTGGCGTGCCATGCCATCGCAGACTCGATGATGATTTTGCAGGTGACGCAGGTCATGATGAAACTGTCGTTAGAGATGGGGAGGATTTCAGAGGCGATGGTCCTCATTCTCCAGGCGACGATGAAGATGGTTGGCTGAGGACTGGAGGGTTGGCCGCCAGTCAAGAAGCCCGTGTAAGAGATGTGCGAACAGTAGACGAGAGCGGTGAAATGGGCGAGAGAGAAGATGATGAGGATGATATTCCAGATATGGAGGATGACGATGATGACGATGAAGCTATTATTCGTGATCCTAAGGCTGACGATGCGAGTTCGTAAGTATTTCTAGAGCTTAGTCTGATGGCTAGATACTAACAATTTACTTATCAGATCTCGTCGAACATATACTATCTACATCGCATACACGCCTTATTACAGAACTCCTCGACTATACCTCTCAGGATATCTCTCAAGCTCCCAACCGCTTCCACCACACCTTATGATGGAGGATATCGTAGGGGACTACAAGGACAAGACCGTCACGTTGGAAGACTTCCCATACTTTAGCAATAACATCAAGATGGCATCCATCCATCCTTGCAAACATGCCAGTGTCATGAAGACCCTTCTGGATCGTGCAGACGCGGCCTTAAAGCTTCGACGAGAGAAACAAAGAAAAGGCAAGACAGTACCTGGTTCTAAAGATACCGGAATGGAGGGCCTAGTCGACGATTTCGAGAAGACCAAAATTGGTGATAAGAAGGCTGTTCTCGAAGGTCTCAAAGCTGGTGGGAATGGCAACGATGAGTGGGAGGTATTGCAACATGATCAAGATTTTGCCAATGAGGAGGAAGAAGTTGCTATCCGTGTGGACCAATATCTCGTTGTATTCTTGAAGGTCAGTTTTCTTGCACCTCTACTATAGTGAATTATGCTAACGAAATTCCAGTTCATGGCAAGTGTGACGCCGGGTATTGAGCACGACTTTACCATGGGCGTCTAAGCGGTGTTGTCTTTATTTTATGCGCAAGCTCAGGATGATGGGAAACGGCTTTGGGGAACATAGTTTTTGATTATTCTTCGATCTGCAGCAAAGTGGAGCAATCCTTACGAGGAGTTTGGAGTGTGTCGGATAGTTCTTTGCACTAATAGCACCACATATCATATCATTTGTAGAGAAACCAGGATTCGAGTAACAGGCATCTGGTCTCATTTTGTGCTTGTTATACTTGTGTTTGAGTGATGCTAAATCGTCAAATGACAAGGGGTGTTTTCTGATAATCATAAAATTGATATGATTAGACTACTGGATTCATTTCGATCGCCGGGTAGTTATTGAAATTTTAGCTGGATGTTCTAACAATGATTTCTGTTTAAGATTGCTTTAGCTATGGGGTACCAAGTCGTTGTTAAACATAGAAGACTTGCCATGGTCGATTTGAGGCGGGGTAGTCCCTCAACTGTCTGGAGATCATGCAACAATTTTTTTGGACTTCGAGATGTCAGATTAGCCTGGAAGAATAGATCAAAGTAAAACATTCACAAATTCACGTTTACTTGTATCCAACTTAGTATTGTACGGGTTCAAACAAAGGTCTTATTGGTATATTTGCCAGGAGTATGCTATTTAATACACGTCCTCCACCCCTCCCAAACCCAGCCATTCATCCTTGTTATCACTTCTAGAAACTTTCATCTTCTTACAATCGTAACATCTTGGCGACGTAGTTCTCAATCAACTGCTCGTTAGGGAAACTCATATCTTCCAACTTTTGAGCATATGGGGTTGGGACTTCGGCACCAGTAATTCTTTGGGCTGGGGCATCGAGATAATCGAAACCGAACTCCATGGTCAAGGCAAGTAATTCAGCGCCGACACCGAAGGCTGGGAAACCGGACTCGACAGCGAGGAGACGGTGAGTCTTTTTGAGGGAGGTCATGATGGTTTCGACATCCAAAGGCTTGATGGATCGGAGGTTGATAACTTCGACCTCGACGCCATACTTCTTCTTAAGGTTCTCAGCTGCGACGAGAGATTGTCCAACGCAGCGGGACAAAGTGACGATGGTGAGATCCTTTCCAGCACGCTCAATCTTGGCCTTACCGAATGGAATAACGAAGTCATTCTTCTGAGCAGCCTCGCTCATTGGGAAAGATTGACCATACAACAATTCGTTCTCGAGAACGCAGACAGGGTTGGGGTCGCGAATGGCAGCTTTGAGTAATCCTTTGGCATCCTCGGCACTCCATGGAGTGACGACCTTGAGACCGGGTATGCTTCCGTACCATGCAGAGTAATCTTGTGAATGTTGTGCTGCGACACCAGATGCGAAACCGTTGGGTCCGCGGAATGTGATGTTACATGGTTGAATACCACCGGACATGTAGTGAGTTTTGGCGGCGGAGTTGACAATTTGATCAATAGCTTGCATTGCGAAGTTGAAAGTCATGAACTCGCACTGTAGAACTGGATTTTAGCCATTACTCTCTCTTATCTCGATAGACTTCCAGTGGAAGGCGAGGAAATGGAGAAAAAAAGTCCTTACCACAGGATGTAAACCTGCCAACGCAGCACCGACGGTCAAACCGCAGAAACCCGATTCAGTGATGGGAGAATCAATAACTCTCTTTTCACCGAAACGATCCAGTAAACCCTTGGTAACCTTGTATGCGCCATTGTACTGAGCGACTTCCTCACCCAGAACAAAGACCTTTGGATTTGACTCCAATTCTTCGGCCAAGGCTTCGTTCAAAGCCTCTCTGACTGTATATTCCTTAACACCACTCTCCTTTGCATATCCTCTGCTTTGCACAATGGCCGGTAGACGGGAAAAAGATTGAAAGGCATTTCGTGTTGGGCGAGCTGAAGAAATGAAGCGACTCGCTGGTCGTAGAAGTCGTGACATCTTGGAGATGGGGTTATGTGATAAGAAAGAAGACCCTCAGCAAAGAAGTTCAAGAGAGGGAGGTGAGGATGTGAAGGAATGGAGAAAAATTGACAAGCTACTAGGTATTCTCACGAACCTTCAACTCGAGTGGCACGTTGGGACTTTTTGTTCAAAGCTTACAATCCGCGCTCCGAAATGTTGATAGATAAGCTAAACTTTATTCGGATTAGCTTTCGGAAGCATTAGGGCGAGACTCAAGATTGATAGATAAACTTCACTCAAAACATGCGTCAACACAGTTAAATAATTTGATTAAAGTTTTTATATCTAAGAGTTCATTGAAATGGAAATGAGGGACATGAGGCTCGATGTTTTAAGGCTCTAGTGAACCTTCACATCGAACTCTCCATAAGAAATCTCGTAGGGCTATTATAAGTTTCCGGGACGATCCGGAGCCTAACGATCCTGAATATATAGTGTATTCAGAGGGCAAAGAAAAGGAATCCTGAATATTGCTCCATGACAGTGACCTTCTAAGAGACGGCGGTGCGTCTGACGGGCAAAACAAGAGATGTCATTGGTACTCATGGCTGAGATTCTTTTGGTATCTCAAGTAAGCACAGAAGAACTGTCGAGCATTAGCAATGAACAAGATTAAGATAATCAATAATGTCATCGTTTTGTGTGTTGCTATTCTATAATGCAAATGCATACAGAGTGCTCAAATACATCGACAATCACAATCGTTTAATAGAATCTTGTCGCACCATGGCGAGCAGGAGAAAAGGGGGACATTTCTATCCTCACAAACGCCTCTTCCTTCCATCTCAACTCCAACTTAATACTCAAATCCTTCTCTACTACCCTAGACAGTTTTTCAAATAGTATTTCCAGCTCAGCGACCCCTTCTTGTGACTCCGAGCAACATGGCTCCTTACACTCATAAATATACAGAAACGCCCAGCACATCCCAACCAGAAGTCTTTCTAAAAAGATTTTCTTATCTTTCTCATTTGTCAAACTCGTTTTCTTACCAAGATCGGTATAGATTACAACCTGTGGTTTCTCTTTCCACTGCACAAATTCGCCGAATATACCACTTTCTACCCCCGTGTCTTTTCGACGAAGGCAACAGAAATCCCTGACCTTATTTGCAAAAAAAGAGGTCGTCAAAGAATTTCGCATAAGTATTCATGCGATATTCCTCAGTCGTTAGACAAATTGTGTATCTACCCATAGTATTATGGATTGGTCGTCCAAGGTCTGCAAAAGTGGTTATGATCGAATGCTGCGAGAAAGTGGGTGAATCTACGTTGGATAGCAGAAGATTAATGAGGTCTTTGCGCTTGTGGCTATTCGGTGAAAGATTTTTAATACTGAGAGTAGCTTTGTGCGTTATATGAGGGCTGAGATCTTGGGGTCCTGATTTGACCAAACATTGCAGTACTTTGGCCACAGACTTCATTGTTGGCATGCTACAAGAGACAAAGAGCAACATAGAGGTGCTAGGTGTTCATATCGATGTTTTTATATAGATAAAATGATGAATCTCAATCAGTGTGAATGGTTTAGATCCTAGATTGGTTGTTCGTTGTAATTGAATAAATCTTAATAAGGAATCTGCCAGTTTTTTCCGTGATATGTTGTAGTTTTCCAATCCTTTGATGATTCAGCAAGTATAAAACGTTTCCAATCACGAAACAACTTTTGTTGTTTGATATGTTAGAGCTACCACTGGGAGACTGGAGCGCGTTCATAAGTTCGATTCTTTTGAAATGGTAGACTATCAAGATTTGGAGAATGGCCTGAGTGGTTTTGTAGTGTACGCTTGTAATGCCACCAAAAAAGTAGTTCCTTCCACGTAGCACAAATAAAACATACATAAGATTATAAGAGACCAGTTTCCTGGGTGGTATATTTGTGTTCTTAAAAGAAATAATAGTATTTGTTTTGCAGAGCTGTAAGATGGGAACACACTGTGAACTTCACGGGAACCTTATGGAGTTATGTTTTCAACATAAGGATTGAGGGTATATCTTGCGTTCAAGCTTCTAGGGCACGATCAGATGTACAGTTTGAGACTGATTATTTGATTTTTGATTCCCTATGCACTACATATCAAGATGCTAATAAATAGATTAAATACACTGTCTTCCCTTATCTAACAAGCTCCCTTGTAACAGAACCATGAATTTTACCTAGTACGGTTCCAGCAAAGACAATTGGCAGAAACTTTCCATGATCTCAATTTTTTAATAATTCATCCAAGGTCGAGTTCAAGTCACTAGTACGAAGAAGAGAATCACGGCCACTAGGATGATCACCTGCGGTAAGATATGTAAAAAGGCCGATAGCTATCCCAATCAGCAAATGGAAAAAGGGAAACCCTGGATGGTGTTAGTTTTTACGATCTATTGTCAATATTTGAAGGGTGGAAAAGTAACTCACATTGTGGATGAGGAAGAGAGCGATGACGATCCTGGGCATACCCAGGAAAGTGACGATAGGCTAAATCATCCTCATTAACAGGAACTACAACTTGAACGAAAGGTTCCTTCCAAAGAAAAGAGCAGATAGCTCGGAGAGCCAGAAGAATTTCTGGACTTTGTCCGGGGATAAAAAAGACATGTGTCTCCAATCCCAACATTAAATAGGCCAAAAAAGCCGTCGAATAATAAATCACTCTTACAGTGCGGAAAAAAATGTTCCAGGTGCGAGAAACTTGTCTGTATAAGAATATTATTGCGTCGATTATCCCTCGGAGAGGAGCAAGGTTCAAGCGTAAAACATTGTACAAATCTGATAATTTCTGTCCTATGTCTGCGAATAATTGGAGAACTATTTCGTATGCGCGCATAAAAAACCCCATTATCCTATTGATGAATGGTAATTGGGGCAGTGGAGGTCTCGGGTGACGGTAATCTTCGAATTGCAAGAACAGCCAATAAGCATATTCCAATAGAGGCATAATGGTATAGATTGTAAATACAAAGAGAGTCAGTAATTGGATAAATAGATAGCGTCCTGGTGGTATTCGATGAACTATTGATTGCCAAATATAACCACCCAATCTGGTAATCTGACCATAAATATAAACGAATGGATAGCCCAACCGTCGGACTGGGCGAAGAATATAGGCAACCAAGGCGTAAAGCCGCTTGAACGGGTAAAGGAGAAATGCAAATGGACGGAAAACATATTTGAATAGATGACCCAACAAACCGAGAAATCGACAGAATGAGTGATAAGCTGAGCGAATCTTACGCGAGACATAGGTGAATAAATTACGTATTCTGTTCGGTGGTGGAGGAAAATCCTCCTCCTGCGGGGGTACGGGTTGCCCCCAGGCATCTATGTAGCGCCGTACAGCTATGTAGAAGCCCGATGCAAGCACGGGAAATAATACCCATGTGGTGAAGAGTGACACCATAGCTGGATCGAAAGATATCTTTAGGTATGAGATCGTCGAATCGGTAAACGATGAATCGGAGAACATGGCCACTAATGATGCAATTGGCTTCAAAATTATAGTGAACGCTTTCGCTATTATTGGGAGAACAGATTCCGCGATTGGTGCGCCAGTTCCTGGAGTATATCCCGGCTTTTGGTCAGATGATTGCTCGGTGGTAGAGGAGAAACCGCTCAAGAAACCTATTACCGGACCCAATGGTTTCAGAGCTGTGTTCGCTACTGTCGTCAATGCCGGTAGAAGAGATTCTATCATTGGTGCTTTCATTAGTACCGATACTATCTTCGTTCCTATCAATTGAAAGGGGCTGAGTAATGTCATTATTGGCTTCATGACTATTGTCATTATCTTCGTAAGAATCGGCGTAGTAGGTCCTGCCCCTATAAGAAGTGTTCCAGGAATATATGGTTCTGGTGGTGCGAGTCCTTCCCACGCAGTAAGAGCTTCTACTGGAAGAATAGGTCCCGAAGTTGATCCCGTTAATATTTTCCCAAGCAACGACCCTTCTAGCGTTTCTGCCAGATTGAGTCCGGATAGTACTTTTCCAAGCATTGACACAGATGGTACTTTCTTCGCGTGCCTCCCCAGTCCCGTATCTAGTATTTCCAAGCCCAGTTCAGTGTTTAAGGCTTCGGTTATTCGTTCTGCGAGTTCTGATTGTGTTAAAGTTTTCGCGATTTCCGATTCTACAAACTCTTCTGCAAGGTCTGGTTTTGCTAATGTGGCTCCTAGCTGTGCAGTTACTAGCCTCTTTTCAGTATCAGACCCTGTTAATATGTATCCGAGCAAAGACCCTTTCAAGGCTTCCTCGATGCCTTCTCTCCCTACGAGCGATTGATCAAATCCAAATTCTCCTAACGTTCGGCCAAGTTCCGAGTGCTCTAGCATTTCACTGATACCCAATGATCCTTGTTCTTTTGAAAGATGCGATATCAGTACTGCCTCCCCAATTTTTGACCCTGTTAATGAGTCTCCAAGCGTTGATTCTGAAAGTGTCTTTTCCACATCTGGGCTTAATTGGAAAGGCTTTGGAACATCATCATATGTTCCTGGCTCTGGCTCTGGTTTCATCGAAATCCCAGGCTGACTTGGGTCGAATTCTGGTATAATAGAGACGCTCGTATCGCCACCAATTCCTGAAATCCATTCTAACATCCAGCTGAAGGTTTCTGGGAGATTCAATAAACTCTCGAACATATCCATCACAATTTTCGGTACATCAGATACGTAACCAGTAAAATCCGTAAGCGCGCTTCGTACAAAATCAAACCAGAAGAGCTGGCAGATGAAGAAAACAATCATGAGCGGACGTATATACCATCGAGCTGGACCTGGTGCTTCTGCAACGGCCCCGCCCACCAGATGATATAGAATGGCAGACGGAATAAAAAAGCAAAGGAAGCCAATTAGGAATCCCCATTCATCAGGTAGGAGATTCCACATTCTTGTGGAAACGACATATTCCGCTGTGGCATCATACAAGCCAGACATGTATTCTCTTGAAGTTGTGACGGAATGAAGGGCTGATTCCCTCCCGTGAGCAAAGGTTTCAAACCATGGACCAAAAAAGTTATGGAGAACAGTCATCGCTAGATCATACAACCTCAAGACCCCCAGCCAGCCAAGGGCCCCGAGGAAGTATGAGGACAACGCATCTCGCCAAGAGTAAAATAGATTCCGAATATTAGGCAAAAACCACCAATCTACCTCCTCGTCAGCCCCAAGGGAGAAAAGTTTGTAAAAGCCCCATGCAAGTATAAAAGGAACTCCCAGCGCCACCGCGTAAAACGGAATATAATAGAGAGCGGAGTAGAAGAGCCATTTGTAGAACTTCCACACTTTTCGCCAGGTGAGTTTTCCTCCAAGTATACCGCGAGACCTCGGAGGCGGTCTGTCCAAGTCTTCATCACTGTAAACCCTTTCTAGCTTCCCAGGATCAGGCTCTTGCTTCTCCAATTCTGGTAGTTCCAGATATATTTGTTCTGGGCATTTATTGACCTGGACCGGGTCTGGGAACGGGTACCCTTCGACCTCAAGATACGGGTGACCTGTTTCGAGATTTGTAGGATTTTCAATGTGCACATATATAACAAGCCTGCATCTGACCAGTTTGACCTGCTTTTCGAGCTCGTTCAGAACTTTTAGGTCTTTTGGTGGCACGGGAATGTCTCCAAAAAGATACTTCGACATGTCTGAAATATGATGCAAAGCTGGATCGGCTTTATAATGTTTCCAGAATAACAAAGGGAGGCAAGGAATAGTGGGGTGTGGCAAAGGCGTATAATCTTCCAATGTTTCTATTTGAATGTCCGTCCATGTCATGGAAGCAACCTCAATTGCTAACTCCGCAGCTCTTTCGTAAAGAATCTCAACTTCATGTTCGTCAATTTTGACGATGGTCGGCAGCCAAAGATCCTGTGCCTCGCTTCTCAACCATTGTCTTGCTCGAGCTTGTGCTACTCTCCGAATCTTGCCATTTGTTCTGGCTGCGATGCTTTTGCTATGGCTGTACTCTTCTCGAGGCCTAAGTAATCTAAGGGTATGCGCTCGGAAGGATTTAGCAACAAGCTGGTTTTGTAGAGATTCATCTATGCGATAATACATTAGACGGTATACTTGTTCATTTCGGCTGATTATTACTTACGCTGGAGGAGATTATGATATAATTTGTCGACAGGATTATGCGGACCGACCACTGTCCCATTCAGGTTTTTTACATCATCCAAGAAGAAGAAGGGATTCTTCAAAATAGTCGTCGCAATATGATGAAACAAGGACGCAGCAATCAAATCCTCGCGCAGATTTTGCTTACTATACCCAGCGAGAGGGGATTCGGCAGCATTGTGACCAAAGAGATTTTGAAAGTCAATCAAGCCACGCAAGAAAGGCTTTGGTTTATGATAATAATCGATGGGTGGATCTGAATTTTCGTCCCGCGCATGACTTGCGATTCGTTTTGCAATCGAGTCAATGCTGTGACTATCCCAAAACAAATCATTGTATTTCGACTGTATGTCGAGCTCGTCGGATTCTTTTGGGGGAGCTACTTTTGGCAAGGTGCTGTCGTAGCCATGTTCTGCATTGAACCACTGGCTCAAATTTCCCCATATTTGCTTAACAGGCCCATCCGATACAGCGTACTCATAAGCTGCATCGCCGAGATCCAATTCAAAATTATGGAGGCCAACATCTTGAGGATATGGCTTGGCCTTTTTGCCCTTGTAAACTTCCTTGATAAAATTCTGTAGCCCCGGACTTCTCAAGAAATCTGGTAACGGCTCGCGTTGCCATTCAGAACCCTCGGACTCTGCCATATTATCGAGAATTGATTCGGGCAGCGTTTTGTTGAAGATAATACAATACCAGTTCAATTTATCTAATGTTTTGAAGCTTGTCAAAATTACTCGAATAAAGTAACATTTAGAGTTGTGCTCAAAGAAGTCTTTGTTGGTAGAATGCGGCCTCGAAGTCGTTTCAATACATTCCTAAAACTAAAACTCTTGTTCTCTTTGATGAAGAGCGAATGAACTTGGCATTGTGCCATCCGTCTTTCATACAAAGCTTTCTCTAGTGACCGGAAATGTTTAGGTCTCTTGATTGTTGCAATTTGCTAAAGATATAAAGAGGAGCCGAGAGAAAATCCTGGCTAATAGATCAGTACGAAAGTGTAGTATCTACCAAATTGGGAGCTCTCTGTCATTATAGAGCAATACGATACCACTATAAACAACGGAAAGAGTTCGACGGGTAGTTTATGACAAGTGTGAGTTGGTCAATATACTACATCAGTGGTGGCCGTTTGTGGAGTGCGATAACGAAGCTTCAGTGAAATTGTTCGGAATTCCAGTAAAATCAGTTTTCTAGGAATTTGAATGGCAATTTATAGTTGCACGACAAATGGCCCTATCTGACTATCCAACTGCCTGCCGTCAATCGTGTATATTGATCAGCCAGTTGTTTTCTGAATGACCGAAAGACCATTGGAGATTCTGATTTGGAAAGATTGGATAAATACACTTCAAGCAATTCAAGAAATATATGAGATTCGTGTCTGATATGCTTAACACAGAGAGTCCAGCAATTTGAATTCTGATCCTAAGAGAATATCGTGTATCGAGAACCAGGGACCAAGAACCTCACATCTGCAATAAGTAGAGCTACGGCCATATTGTGTTCTTTGTAACTTACTCTCTACACGCAAGAATTCTGGTTCTGATAGAATAAGGTGCCAACTAGGCTACGCGAAAAATATCCTGCATTTTCTGTTAATGGTATCAAGTTTTAGGAAACGCCAAGTAGACCCATACCCGCCCAGCCCAATAACGCCTTGTCACCATGCCCCCCAACCCACTAATACAATTGTCCGAAGAAAGCCTGAACTAAAACACTCTGAAGCCCTATTTATTTCCCCAATAGCATCTTCAAAACCATGACTACTAAGCATAAAACTATCCCAGCAATAGCCCGATCAACCCATACGGGTACACCTTCATCTGACTGAACACGAGCTTGTGCCATTTGTCTTTGAGGTTGAGGATTCTGAGCAAGTGGTATCGTAGCTGTGGGTTGAGGTACCGTTTGCGCTGGCCTCGCAGATGGATACTCACTCTCAGCCTGTTCCAGCTGTACTTCCTCCGTGGATTTACTATTCCCTCCATCCAATTCCTGCTTTGATCCCGTCTCCGCTTTAGTCTCCTTCTTTAGCCCGATTTGCATGTCAGGTGGTACCGTCTCCTCTTCTCTCTTAGAACTCGTCCCTTCACCCTCGAATTCCTTTGCAAGTTGTTCTGCTTCTCCTAAAATCTCCTCGCAGCTCCTTCCACCACAAACGCCGCATTTCCACCTCCTACTCTCCCCTGCTATTCTCTTTCTAACGCTATCGCTCGCATCAACCCCTCCCAATTGCCCCGAAGGACTGGTTTCCATGAATGATCTGAGAGCTACTAAGGCAGTTCGTATTCCCCACGCAGGCTGCCATGTTTCCTCATGATGTCCACTTATACTTAAACAGATCTCACGATTCACCTCAAATCTTCCGCTGGGCGTCAAGAATCTAAAGGAAGGGGGTCGAAGAGGATATTGGGGAGGCAAAACGATGCGTCCGTGATAGATACCCTCGGCGAAAGATGAGGATGGGGGGCCGCGCAATGTAAAGTGCCAATCGAATAAATCGGTATCTGAAGCTGGAGAAGCTGTATAGTCTGGAGATGGATGTTGTGAGAGTTCAGCGGCTTCTTTCACTACGCCACTGATTAACACATGCGGCGAACGATCGTGGGGTATAGAATAACTTACTGATGCGCTTCAACGTGGGAGATTTGGTATTGAAACCAGGCGCCATGATTGAGGATTGATCGGAAATAGTAATTGAACTTCTGGGCTAGAAAGAGAGGTTACTGGACCTGCTCACTGAAGTATCAATACGATATTTGAAGAGTCGTTTGTGTATGAATGAGTAATGGATTTCTTTAAATAATTAGTGGCTGCCCATTCAACGCTATGGTGTAACTGGACAGGTCGATCGTAGTGACAAGCGCGAAGAGCATCAGAGCGCAAGAGCACATGCTGTAGATAACGATTAACATGTTGCGATAACGTGGCCTTGATTGTGATTACGTAATCACAAACTGATGGTCCACCAGTGGGTGCATGGACTGACGGGACACTTCCCAATTTTCAATATTTTCAATAAATCCATTCTTCAATTGTTTGATATCAGAATTTGTATTTTGATTATTTTATCTTTATTCAAGAAATACAACAAATTTTAAAATAAATGTTTCAATATATCAAAAGATATTTACAAGTTCATTTTTGTACTGTCCCGTGAGTCCGTACACCCACTGGTGGTCACACTTCTCACACCCATCCCATTTCATTTCTCGCCAGTTCAAATATAAGAAAGGGGTTGGATGGATCAATGACTAATTCTATCATCCATCTGGAATGCGCTGCCTAATTGAATATCTTACTATCTAAGTGTACTTTTGGATTGTAGGATATGAGAACATGCTGGTATTACACCAGTAGATTCCTCACACCTGGTGGTGTGCCTAGTAGCCAAATAGAGTTATAGTCAATCATCAAATCGAAAACCTTAGCCATATTACACTATATAGCTTACTTAGTTCCAAGTTTTTCCACAGCATTAGTGATTATCCCATTTACGCATGGCGTCATATTACCCAGGAAAAGAAACAGCTGTACAGTGTCCAACTGTATCTGCATTATAGCCAGCTCTTCCATCGTAGGTCATACTACACACTAGTAGTTCTTGCTCCGGAAGTTTGATGTGTTTCAATAACCAGGGCTCAATATCCGTTTCTTTCACTGTTTAAAATATGCAGTAGTGTATATATATTGCTGCTAATCTGAAAATTCAAGGGTTAGCAGCCGAGCCAGCCTAGAGCCAAGGACAAAACAAGATGTGAGGAAAAGGGGGTGAAAAGTAGAGAAGTGTTGAAGCGATTTTAAGGGGAGAAACTATACGAGACGGCCTATAGAGGAATATCTGCGACGACTTTACTCGATCATAGAAATGAAGTAATTATTACGAGGAATGATAATATTATAACATGACATATTCCGAGATTTCGTATATCCATCCACCCATCCACCGACATTATAAGTATCCAAAGCTTGATCTGTATCATACAAAGGACGAAATCGATGATCTCCAGCCCGGAGAAAAACAGTGTAAATCTTGAAACCTAATCCACATCATCATCGTGTCCATGTACATGCCCATCCCATCCTCTCGTGTCATCCTTTTGTCGTGCTATCGTATTTCCTAGTAATGTATTCGTAACTACACCAACTCTCTGGGGCCACCCAGCGGCAGCTTTTCTGTCGAGCACTTTTCTTTCCGCCTCATCTTCGTCACTGCTAATTTCGTAAGGATCTTCGTCGCTGTCTCTTGGCTGCAGTGTTTGCATCGAGACGGAGTTTGAGTCTGCTTCATCCACATATTGATTTGGACTGCGCCCCAAGATTCGGTCTGCTTTGGATTGAGAACGGTTGGCTCGATTGGGTTGTGTGGGATAGGAAACATAATGTCTGCCAGCTCCCTCTGATCTTGGCAGGGGTACTATTGGAGATGCTGGCTCGCCCCAGCCAGCAGCCCTTTCTCTATTTCTTTGTTCTTCTCTTTCTCGGGCAAGTTTTTCTCGAGCCTCTAACCATTTTGGACTTGCCTCCCAACTCCATCCATCTCCAGTGGTAGTAGGTATAGGAACCGCCCATAATAATGCCTTGGGTCCAAATAAATGCTTGAAGTTCCTCCTCCACCCAAGATCAAAAGCGCTAGGTAATTTTTCCGAATCTTGTTCGTCAAGATATTCCTCATATCGATCTCTTGCTCGAGCTCTCTCTAATTGTTCGTATGATCCAGGGGCTTGATCTTCAGGAATGTGTTGATGTTGCATAGTCTTTCTCAATGGGGACAAATATCTCGTCTTCTCGAGGCACTCAATTGTCGTTTGACCGCGGGATGATAATAAAATGTGCCATCCTGTAAAACCTGCTAAGACCAATCCTATAATCCCAGAAATTACCACTAGCATCACATAATTGACGGGTAACAATGAATCGGTATATTCTCCATCGCTCAATATCTCTCTCCAAACCCAAGTTCCGGAGACTGCGAAACAGAGAAAACAGAACAATGTTGTATATATCAGGAATAAGAGGAAGGCTTTATAATTTCGCAGTCCAACGCAGGTAGCTAACCATGGACAATGATGGTCCATCTTTAATACACAAGTTCCGCATGTTGAGCAATGGTGCGTTCGATCTGGCTTCCTTGCCTGGCATTTCTTGCAATAGCGCAATTCCCCATTCGATTTCACCGTGAAGTTTGTCGCCACAGGATTGTGTGTGGGAAGGGCGCTATATCCATGGTTTGCGGCCGTGGTAGTTCCTGGACTCGTGAAGACCGCAGCCGTATACGACCAATTCAGGAGAAGATATATAATGATTCCCAGAAATGACGTCCCCTTTCCTATGAAATATTAGCTTTGCAAAATTTAATTTGCGACAATAAAGCCTACCTATCCAGTGTGTTCTGCTGCCATCTGCCAGAAATCCAATTGTAGTTTCTACCCAGACAGCCCAGGTTGTGATACTGTATACAAATACAAGGGGGAAGTAAGTTGCGCCAATGCAACAATAACGTTCGCACTTTCTAGCCCATTTTCGAGACATTCTTGAAGGGCCAGGAGATCTAGGAGGACTTGGTGGCGATAGATTAGCCATGGGATTCATCGGAGAAACATGACTTTATTGTTCGCATTATTTAAGGAGTTGTTGGAATAACAGACCAGCTGGTGTTTGTGTTCCGTTTAATAGAGGCTGAGCTTCGCTGATTAAACATAGGTAGGTGCTACTGTATAGGTAGGGTAGGTACAGATCGGCCTCCGTAGCCCGGACTTCCGAGAACAAAAGATGATGACAGTGAGACAATTCACACAAACTTCACTTCACTCACTAATAAATCATCAATGTGAGATTCCTGGTTCAATGCAATGAGCAATGATCAATTGGAATCACTTGGTAGGACCTCGGCATAAGGTGTTCTTCATCTAACGATGTATCAGTACTTCAACCTATTTGACCTCAGCATCCCAATATTGAACATCGCTGGTTTTGCCATGTATACCTGCGTAGGCATATATATATATATATATATATATATATATATATGATATTGCCTCTGTAGTTGGCAAGTAACGACAGTTATGAATTCAATATCTACAAGATCTAATATGTAGTAGTATCATTTAGTACTAAGCGGTATCTAATGTATTACATGAACTCTCTGCCATCTTGCCACCGCAAGATTTTTGGATTCGGATAGGGATTCTCGGGTACTTTGGTGGAAGTAGAGAGATTGTATCTAACTTTCCTTATGTTTCTGGAGGCTCAGCAGGTGAGCGATACAGTGGTTTTGCTTGATGACTGAATTGCAGAGAGATTTCGCTCGCAGTATCTCAACGGATCGTCACTCTTTCCTTTTGACTAGAGATTTGTAAGATATGCTTTCTTGAACCTCCGAACCCGCTTGTGCTGAAGATGAAAGATAACACGATATATGGCCGTCAGTGGGGTCCTAAGAACTTGAAGTAATCACAATAATGGTTGTATGGGAAAAGCACCTTGAATAAGGGATGAGGTCTCGCTTCGTCGGCATCAGAGAGCATGGTGGCTATCTTCGGTGCTAGCATTTGATTCCCCTTCTTCTCAGGTATGATTGTCTGTACTCCTTCGGATTGCTAATCAATTTCATTCCTGATTCTTCTGGCTGTTCAGGCATATCATCTGATGTGAAAAGTGATCGTAGACAGCGAATGTGTGACTAGATTCATGTTGTCACTTTGAGTAGCCATGTCTTCGAAGAGTAAGCATATCATTATGGTCAAGAAGAAGGATGTGTGTTTGGTATTGATGAAGGAAGAAGGGTTTCTTTCACTCAACGTGTACAAGTAGATAAAGTTGACCTAGGTAGCTAGAAGCTTCAGATGGATCTCATTGTGTATTAAAAGAATGAGATGATAGCTACCCACATAGGCGCAGTCTATCAGCCATTTTATTCACTCTTAAATTTTATATTCATTTTTCCCCTCCTCTATGTCCAAGCAATTCCCCTCTTATCGTCTAAAAGAATCAACTATCGGCGAATCGTTCATTGGTTGGTTATTGTTTAGTTTTATTTTGGAAGCTGATATCTGTTGTTGCTGTCGCCGTACCCTTACTAGGTAGTCTTAGCCCTTTCTTTTTGTTCTTTCCCGATCTGCTTCTTCTGTAACTATCCGACGCGACAAATGTCAAAACCTTCCACTCCCTTCTCACTTCTTTACACGATAAACATTTCTCCGTCAAATTCATATCCTTTGCCTCACAGTTTTCCATACGTGGTGAATTGTATCTTTTTCTTTAATTTCTCTCCGAGAGTGGCTATTGAGCCTTAAAGAACGTAGCAGTTGGTCTCAATACCATACTTTCTCTCCATTCGATCTTCCTTGTTAAATCGGAATTCCATGTGCCTCGAATCAACAATATCACTGTCTACATTGATCCCGATCGTCTTCATGAAAGATATAAACAAACAGAATATCGAACAATACATTTGACAACAATTAAACTCTCTTCGACATGGATACCATAGACGCAAAGACGGGCGAACCTGATACCAAGGTAGATTGCAGGCTCTGTAACATCACCTTCAAGGATTGGACTGCCTTTCATAACCACAAATTGACCCACAGAGATCACATCTGTTGTGATATCTGCAGCACAGACTTCCACACTGAGCAAGGTCTGAAGCGTCACCGAACTCTAGTATGTTGCTTTCAATCGAGTTACTGGCTAGTCATGATCGACTGACTCTGACTAACCTCTTATGAAACTCTAGACTCACCCAAAGGAGCAAGATCTCAAGTGTATGGCTTGTGGTAAAAAGTTCATTCGTCTAGGATCTCTAATCAATCACCTTGAACTTGATAGCTGTCGCGCTATCAACTTCGAAGAGAGACATAACCTGGCAGCTATCAGACGCCAACGTCAACAACTGCACGCAAAATTCAAGGCTAATCTAAAGGAGATTGATGACAACGCTGGCCCAAGAACTAGTCATAGCCTTTTAGGTTCGCAGGATATTTCTGTAAATTCTATGGATGTTAAGCCGTTGGCACCAATGTTCAAACCACCACCACCAAACTTTGAAAGTGAGATGGCTACCAACTTTGAGTTTGGCGGATGGGAAACTACTAGTAACTCCCCAAAACTTTCTCTTCTTGAAGTTAGCTTACAGTCATTTAGTCCTAGAAGAAGATATACCATCGAATACTCTTAACGAAGCAATTCAAAATACTGCTCCTGCTCCCGTCATGGAATTACAACCAGAGGAAGACTTGATTTGTTTCGGGGAAGTTGACAAAGCCATGAGTATACCATGGGGAGGAATTTCAAAGAAGACAATCAGGGAGAAACCAAAGCTCACTGAAGAGGTTCAGTACGAGTATGTCGAAAATTCCTTCCCAATTGCAATTGCACCTTTAATGAAAGAGTATAATTTCCCGCCTTTGCCAAATGGAAGCCGATTTAGAGACGCCGGCATGAAAGCTCCAAACTACATGGATGCGCCACTCGAGGACTCAAAGTTTACTTCCATCTGGGACACCAAGCACATAATTGCAAATGCCCGAAAACCCATCCCCCCACCATCTACAGAGGCACCTGCCGTGACAGATGTAGCTACTCGAACTGGTGGACTTCCGCCTCTTCGTATGCGGGCTCTTGTCAACCCTTTAACCGAGAAGGAGTATGCACTGTATGACCCTGAAGACCCTTCTTTCCGTGCACAAAGATATTGGGTTGCGTTCACCCGAAAGTACCAGTGTCCTCACCGCTTGTGCAAGTAAGTGATTTCAATTACCCAAATCAATCAATTTTCTAACATGTTTGAAGGAAAAGTTACGATACTGAAAGAGCCTTCATCCAACATTTACTTTCTACCACACACACTTCAGATAACAGACTTATCTGTCCCAATTGCTACGTAAGTGCAACAGACTTCTTCACTTAACGTTTCCATATCTCAATATGTGTTCTGTGTAACTTGGCATCACTTTAGTTATGGAATATTCTATTCTAAATTGCACAATAATTCATTCGCAATTCCTTAAAGTTGTGACAGCGTTGTTCAGTATGGCGTCCATGATTCAAAATTATTGTCTTCATATTCTGTCAGATCATATTTTCGAATGTGGAATTGGAACAGAAAACACTTTAAACGTGCTTTAGTGCGCTGTTACTAACCATTTGATAGAGAGGTTTCGGAACGTACACAGCCCTAACGCAACATTGCGAGTCTCAAGGAGTTCGTTGCAAAATTCGTGAAGCAGTTAATTACGGTAGAGTTGTCAATGATATCACTGCTAGTGTGGCCGATGTTGTAGGTAAGCATGAAGACGAAACAGTAAAGTATACCGTCAAGGAGGAAGGATTTGGAGAGTTGGCCAAGAAGTATAAGGAAGCCGGAGAGAAGAATGCCAAGAAAAAGGTAAACTATTGGGCAAATCATGATGCGGAGTTTGAGTGGTAGATGTCCAGACGGGCCCAGGATGAAAATATTTCGAAGTCCTTTCTTGCTGTGGTGGATGCAAATCGAAGGTTTAGGCTCGCTGGTCGTTTTTTTACTTTGCCTCGGCTTTCAGATCTTGCCTTGGCTTTTCTTTCTTTCTCTCAAGTAACGCTGAGATATTCCAGGATTTATGGCAATCGTTTCAGCTGTCAAAAACCAGATAGCTTAGCACAATCGAGATGTTCTAAAAAATGCTTTGTGGCTTTGGTGTTGAAGATAATAAGCAGTATGATGGCTTACATGGAGAAAGATGTCACCTTCTCGTTTTCTCTCTCAATCCCTCTTCATCGGCAATCGAATGCCCAAGAATTTGATCACTAAGATCTTTAACTAATTTTCGCATCGCTTACAAGGGATGGCAGAATTTCTCTCGTTCTTTAATGAGTGTAGATGGAGAAAAAAAAAAGGAAAAACAGTGCTTTTGTGAAGAGTGGCTTGCTTTGTTTGACATAGAGGTGGGTAGACAAAACTTTGTGGATGTTTGCTATGTGGATGTTCCCAGTAATGATTTTTTGTTATCATGAAGTGGTCATGATGAGGTATATACATGGATTCCTGAGTTCCGCACCGCGGCTGATGATTGAAGAAAGGAACATTGGAAGTAGAACTTTCCCTTCGGAAGTTGGTCTTGGTATTGTAGCTGGTACGCATGCAATAGCAGTCCCATCGTGTGCCATGCTTTGTTATGTTACAAACATTGCTCGAGTATATGAAAATCTTCACGGAGAGGATAGTAGTGCTTCAACTCTGTACAAGAAATTCGACAACGGTTATTGTGCCAGTATACACATGCTTGTACTGATAGAATCATGTGTGCAGCTTCATTCGATCCAGATGAGGTGAAGAGTAGATTACTCCCTGGGTGGTCTTCAAATTGATGGTATGTCTGTATCGTAGGGCGCGTAGCTTGTAAGTGGTGGTTGATCATTGATACAGCGATGAGATGTTTGCAACCTGTGATCATGCCGACGAGAGGGGCGGATTGTTGATATTGCCAGCTGTTTAAGAGGAGATGAAGTTGAGGTTGTGAAGCATACAATGGGATAGAACAGTAGTATCTTAAATTTGACGTATGTTTAATATCCTCGCCTCCAAATCCCACTCGATGATCCTCTTATATAGGTACCTATTCAACAACTCGAGAATTTACTTTGATTTTCCAAGCAATATTTGAGGGTTGAATTTACATCTTGGAATTATGCATCCAAACCTTAACATCCTCACTCGCTTCCGCTAGCAAGGATTGAACTGCATATGTAAAAGAATATGAGTGGTGGAAGAACTAAGGCTCGGGACAATGTTAAGGGTATACATGCATGTGTGACGTCGGTAGTTAAAATCTGGGGTAGTTTTTCTGTCCCTGGAAGAGAAGAATCTATCCATCTATATTTGTATCTTTGCCCAATTTTACCAATTGATATGCTACACAATTCACTATGCGCGTTTCAATTATCTTTTCCTCCTGCATATCTTTTCTCTGGATTGTTGAGGTTAGCGCTCTAATACAGAGACAAGAAATCGTCCAAACCTACAATGTTTACCGTAACGCTAGTTCCGCAACTACACCTCTGCAAGTTGGCAACGGTAATTTCGCATTTGGTGTCGATGTGACGGGACTCCAGACCTTCCATCCTTTTGCAACCATGACAACATGGGGCTGGCATAATTTCAGTTTGCCAACAACTCCAAATCAAACATCTGTGGAAGGTGAGGCCTGACTGTTGATTAAATATGTTGGAATACGAGTTGTTAACAAATTGAAGACTTTACCGGTTTGGGCTGGTGGTCCCATGGACGGCTTGTGAACTATGACCAGCCCAACCCAGCTGAGGCGGATATATCAAATTGGCTAATCCAGAATCCTCAACGCTTGAATCTGGGTAATATTGGGTTTTGGTTCGCGAACGCGAACGTTACGGAAGGTAACTTGGAGCAGAAAAGTCAGGTTCTTGATTTATGGAACGGCGTAATCACTTCAACGTTTCTGTACAATGGCCGTCAAGTCCGGGTTGAGGTATCAGCTGCGTCAGACGCTGATATTGTCATAATCAATGTGGAGTCTGAACTGCTGAGTGCCGGCGCATTAGGTTTGTTTTTCGACTTTCCATATTCAGATGTGAACAAATTCGATGCGCCAATTGTCGGCGTGTGGAATGCCAGCAGTAAACACTCTACATCTCTTGATGCAGCGGATAACGAGGCCGTTATACAACATACTCTAGACGATACTAGCTACTGTTTTACCGCGAGATGGGAGGGGAAAGGTCAGGTATCGGGCCCCAAGGAGGCTACGCATCGATACTTTCTCACAACTCCAGGCTCCAGCAATTTGAAAATGACAGCGACGTTCTCGGATGATGCAAGCTGTGGTAAAGCTGGAAACATGAGTGCACCATCTGTGGCTGATCTTACTGATAGCTCTAAGACGTGGTGGCAGACTTATTGGGAATCGGGAGCATTCATTGACTTGAGTTCTGTTGACTCTGCGAATGCAACTGAGCTCCAGCGTCGAACTATTCTATCTCAATACCTGTTAGCAGTCAATTCGGCTTCAGACTTCCCACCTCAAGGTATGTCACTTAGATTAGCAACGAGATGAGATTTTCTTCGAAGATTTGCTGATTGTCTCAGAATCTGGTCTTGTAAATAATGGGTGGTATGGAAAATTTCACGTTCGTATTCCCAAACCATTTTGTTTTTATTTTTCTATGATGAGCCTAGTTTGGCTCGGAACAATAGCTAAGAATTATGCATGTAGCTTGAGATGGTCTTCTGGCATCTTTTGCATTTTTCCAGATGGAATCATTTCGACCTTGTTTGGCGAAGCATGCCAGGAATGTATGAGAAGTTCCTTGAATCTTCGCTCGACAGGGCCAGACTTCAAGGATATGAGGGCGCTCGATGGGGGAAAATGACCGACCCAACCGGCCGTAGCGCGCCTGGAGGCATCAACTCTCTTTTGATCTGGCAGCAACCGCATCCGATGTACTTTGCTGAGATCGAACACCGATCGTTCCCGAATGACACGACACTTGAAAGATGGGATGAGGTATTGACAGCTACAGCAGATTTTATGGCGTCTTTTGCGTGGTATAATGCCACTACTGGAGTCTATGATTTGGGTCCACCAATGTATCCTGTCTCTGAGAATACGAGTCCAAATGCGACAATCAACCCAACCTTTGAGCTGGCGTACTGGAGATTTGGTCTTGATGTAGCTGTGAGCTGGAAAGAGCGTCAGGGGAAGTCTATCCCTGAGAATTGGAAGAACGTGCGGGAAAATCTTGCTCCCCTGCCCATCGTCAACGATACATACCCCGTGTATGAGGGTATTCCTAATATGTGGACAGACAACGAAACAACATCGGATGTGAGTGATCTTACATTTACATTACCTACACACCCAAAACTCCAGATTGCTAATCCTGATCCCAATGACAGCATCCAGCAATGGCGGGTATATATGGATGGCTCCCACCCCCTAGCTCCCCGCCCCTCAACATGACCATTGTTAGTAACACTGCCTCCAAAATCCACTCTCTTTGGGATTTAGAAGATTCATATGGTTGGGACTTTGCTCTACTGGCCATGAACTCTCTCCGTCTAGGCGACACAGACCAAGCAATAGAGTACCTGTTACATCCAATCTTTCAGTTCGACGACGCTGGATATCCCGTAGGAGGATCACGCGTGCCAACTCCGTACTTCCCGAATGCGGGGGGATTAATGCTTGCTTTGGCTATGATGGCAGGGGGGTGGGATGGTGAGCCTGGAATGCATTTCCCCGAGGGTTGGGATGTCAAAGTGGAGGGATTTGTGCCGGGTTTGTAGGAAAGTGAGTGAAGGTGGATTTGAATGTTAAGAACATTTTGGGCATAGTGTGGAGTATGGTGGGTAGTATAACACGTCACGTGGGTTTTCGATAATCAGCCCTGGAGGTTTACTATTATGCAGATTATGCAGTACCTAGCTTGAAATTCTGTCTATCAAGCCACCACCACGAGCCACACATTTAATTACCTAGGTAGCCCTGGAGGCCCCGGGTATGATTAATCATCAACTTCCAGAAATTTCCAGATAAAGTTTCCATGATTACAAATTTCCCTCTCACATAAATTAATTAACATTGGTACATTAATAATTCCATCGAATCATGCTTGGTGATGCTTCGTAATTGCCACGAAGCATGGTGAGTCACTGCATCATGTGTTGCTTTTCTTCGCAGTATATGTAGTAATTGTGTTTGTTCTCTCTATTTTCATCTTCTTTCTCTTCATCTTCTCGTACAATCTGATGTTCAAAGCGACGTTGCCCAGAATGACCAAATTTGATATTGCGATTGTTTCCGACACCGCCTGCCCGTGGTGTTACGTTGGAAAGCAAAAGCTCGAGCAAGGAATCACGGCATACAAACAGCGACATCCTGATTCCAATGATACATTCAGTATCACATGGCATCCATTTTACCTTGCTCCAGAAGCGCCTAAAACAGGTTAGTCGTTCCTCTTTTTCTTAATACACATTTTCTGTCAATTAGATATTCTGAGATTAATTATCATGAATAGGTGTGGACAAACGAGCATGGTACCTTGCTCGCTTTGGAGAAGAGAGGACGACAGCAGCTTTCAGCCGACTTGCCCAGATTGGAAAAGATGTTGGTATCGATTTTAGTTTTGAAGGAAAGACGGGAGCGACGAGAACTAGTCATCGCCTGATTCAATTGGGAAAGACAAAGTCGCTCGCCATGCAAACGAAAGTAGTGGAATCATTGTTCAAGTCGTATTTCGAAGAAGAAGGCGATATCACTAGTCATGAAGTGTTACGTAATGCCGCAGTACGAGCTGGTTTGGACGAGAAGGAAGTCAATGAATGGTTGGAGAGTGATAAGGGGGGGGAAGAGGTTGATAGGGAGATTGAAGAGGCGAGGAGGAATTCGATTAGCGGGGTACCGAATTTCACTATTCAGGGGAAATATGAGATTGGGGGCGCCCAGGACTCTGCAGTATTCTTGAGGTTGTTTGAGAAGATCAAGGAGATGGAGGAATCGTCGAAAGCTTAGACAAAATGTAGGTTAGCTGGGAACACAAATAAAAAGGTTTAGGAAAATTTAGTTGATCATACCCATGGCAATCTTATTATTTATTACTAGACACACCTGGGCCAAAAACACTGAACGATGCTGAAACTCGTAAATTTTCAGCAGAACTGTGAATCAGCCACAACTATCCACATAAATATCAGCCACAGCCGGGCCATGGATATGGATGCAGGTGGATCTGTATTTCGCTGCATATTATGTCGCACAAGAATACCTCGAATACGGATCTATTTCAAGCAAGATGAAGTCAGATCCAGGATTCAACATGACACTACTCCCCATATCTAATTGTACCGCGATTCTATAGTGCAGTCAGTAACGGTCCAGTACGCCAATTCTTTCAAAACGGAAATGATATCCACAACATTGTGAGGTGAAGTGGAAAATCATTTCCTGCTCTCTGTTGCGGGGTTATCGAAATAGGGGTTTGTGTTCATTTCTATACGTTCATACGGTCTGGCCATTCGATCGACCCATTGACCACTAGTTTCATGAGTATCAATGTGTCCCGAGTTCTGGATGAAGCTCCGCTCGAGCGCATTCGTGTAAGTAGTCAACCAATAAAGCTCAGGTAGCTTATTAACAACCTCCGGCTGTTGAATCTTGGTACTTACTTAACCTCCGTGAATCGATAGTACTTAGGCTCGCATTCGTATTCAAAGCTCGGGTGAGGAATCATCCGCATCCGGAAACTGACTTCTACATCTCCAAAGTAAAGTTCAGACCACAGTAGTATCAACAAGACTTTCATATAAATACCTCAAAGATTTGAAAATTAACAAGACGATATTCAACAAACTAGACTCAAACAATCAGCAACATCTTCGAGCAAAATCATATGCATTACAACTAATCAACATGGTTGACGGGCAAGGATCTAACAAGGTAGCCATCGTGACGGGATGCGCAAGTGGGATGGGGCTCGAGACAACGCGGTTGCTTTTGAGCCATCAGTATAAGGTATTAGGTGTCGATGTGAACGAGATGAATCATACTCTGTTGGATAAGCAGGACCAGGAGATGGTGAGTGGTACAGACAGAAGCTCTTGAGCGCTATAATCTTTCTCAGGGGCGTGGAACGTTTGGGAGAAAGAATATCAAATACTGACATATGGGTCTGAGTAGTTTCAATTTCATAGAGGGGATCTGAGTAAAGATGGAGAGTGCGATGAGCTTGTGAGAATCTGTGTTGCTCGATTTGGGTAGGTACTTTCCTCTTTTTCTCGTGGGCTTGAGCTATCAACCACACACATACATTCAACCCGCCTTCAAATACACTAAAAAACCCTCTAGTGATACCATCGACGTTCTGGCTAATATAGCTGGTGTGATGGACTCGATGGCCTCAGCTGACAAGGTCACGGATGGTGATTGGGATCGCGTCATTGCAATCAATCTCACGGCTCCTACGAAACTAATCAGGGCTGTTCTACCTTTCATGAGAGCTAAGAAGAATGGTGTGATTATAAATCTCTGTAGTAAAGCGTCATTAAGTGGTGCTGCGGCAGGAGTTGCTTACACAGCTTCTAAGCATGGATTGGTTCGTAGTATTCCGATTAGGAAGCATAAATCTTGGGAGCTAATGATGCTATAGTTGGGTGTGACCAAGAATACTGCATTCAGATTCAGAGATGAGGGTATAAGATGCAATGCTATTTGTCCTGGGGGTCAGAACCACCTTCCAAAGATGAACTTCTTTGGTAACCCTCACTAACGCATATTACAGGTGTCATGACCAACATGGCCAGCTCGATGAACGCAAAAACCCTTGATCAAGAAGCGGCCGCTGTATGGGGGTAAGAACTTTCCGGGCCGTTCATTCCTTTTTTTTTTTTTTTTTGACAACATTCTAGACCAGTTCTCGCTTTGCACATGAAGCCTGGCGAGATGCCCAATGTTGCCGTTTCAGCAATTGCTGAAGCAATCTTGTTCCTCGCAAGCGATGGAGCGAAGTCTATTAACGGTGTTGCACTTCCAATTGACAATGCCTGGAGTACGATCTGATCAATTTGTAATTTTGGAATCTTTGGAGTTTGTCTGAATAAAGAGTTAGGGGATATGGTATGGGACAACCAATGTACAACAAAATCATTGCTTGCCACTGAATGAAGTAAGTTGGTTTTATGCCCTCACTGTGGCTTACTCTCATCGAATTTTTGGTCAAGACTCGACGGAAAACTATGCTGCAAGATTTTAGGGGGCATTTCTGTTTCTTTGATCATTAGTATATACGTATACCCTGCCTGTCAAGAATGCAGGAAATACATTTATATATAGTTTGTTTTCTTAACGATCAGTTCTTTGCTACCTCTTCTTCACTTCTTGGCTGTCAGGTAAAACACTATTTCTCCACGTGTAATTCTAATATCAGATCTCTGGAATTTCAAGGAAAATCAAAAGTAAATTTATTATAAGATCACTCAATCAATAAGTACATGCAAAGACATAGTGATTAGCTATGGGACATGGAAGACCACGAATATTGACTCTCCTACTAAAAAGGTTGGAATTACTTGCCTTGTCAAATTCACTTTTTTATGGACTTTTAACAGACCCACTCGTCTCGCGAGCGCTCTCAGAATCCAACCAGTCACCACCTCACCGTCGTCGCTTAACCTGCGGCGGTTATCACCACCGCGTCAAAAGAGTAACCTCACACTCTGCCATCAACACAAAAGGCTGGCAAAAGAAAGAATTAAATGTACTGTACCGAGTATGAAAAGGGCAAAAGAAATAACACACTTACATTGATGATGAGCACGAATTAGGGTTAGTGGGGTATAGCAACAGCTTTGTAGCAAGTTATGGGTATAGCAAAGATTGTATAGCGAAGTCGGCCACTTGACCGTTGAACCAAACCACCACTTGGTGATTTGGTTCGAGGTTAATGAGATTGTTTGGGGCTATATTGGAGAGCAGCTAAAGTGAATATGGAGAGATTGGGCTGATGGGGTGATGGACTCTCGTCGCATATATTTCCTTCACTTTCGGGCCCGTATTGATCCGTCTTTTGAAAAGCGGTAAGGAAACATCCCGTATGGCATCCTCAAGACCCTTTTGCTGGATCTAGTAACCTCTTCTTAACATTAGTTAATACGTATTGCCTGAAGAAACGCGTGCATCAAACCTCTCCTGGTAGCATACCTACTTTGCATGACTTGAGCCATTTTATCTTTTTTGCACGCCAAATTTCTCCTCTCTCTATATCCACAAATACCGTATACAAATGCCTTGCATTCAAATTGCCCAAATGGCTGGAGATAGAGATGAAGTACCGCGTCTCCTTCGAGATCGCCACATAAAAGCTGTTAGAGATAAATTTCATCGGCCACCAACAGGTACGTCCTTTTTCCACATTTCTTAGTTCTGCACCATTCATTATCATTTGAGAAATTAAGAACTAACAAAGCCAAATTAGTCAATGAACTCCGGGCCATCGATGCACTTCCACTTGAGCCTCGAAAGAACCTAAACGACACCTCTTCAAACGGTCAAAGAATCTACGAACTGTTGAGAGCATTTGAGAAGACTGGCTATGTTGAAGGACTTGAAGAAGCTGGGAGACTTCTATGGGCGCAGGTATTTGCAGAACCAGATTTCAGCCAGGAGCCTAGAAGGGAACCATTTTCTGCCGTCAGGAATATTGCAGCACGTGGGATCAATGAAGTTAAATACAGGGCCGATCAACATCCTACAAGAACACCGAAAGAAAAACCCTTACAATGGACGTCTGCAGAGAAACTGATTTCCATTAATGCTACTTCAAATGCTTTTGCTGGATCTCCTCAGAAGCCTTGGATGATAAGAGGTGTTTCGATATCACCGACTCCTCGACGTGCTAGTATTTCATCGGGTGATAATGGAAATAACAACGAGCCTGCTAATAATCACTTCCAATCTCGCGATGCACAGCTGGTCTCATTAAGATTTGCAGAATCTGGTCAGCAAACTCAAAATCGCATATCTACATTTACCACCCCAGTTCCAGGAGGTCCGCCGAACACCTATGGCGGCGGTACTTATATGCCATGGCCACTGCATCAAAAAGCTCAAGAGTATCAATATGTAAGCCCATATTCAATCCAAACCTCTACAACATCTGTGCCGTATGTCCCGGAAAGAGGAGAACAAGCACGGGATATAATGTCCCGTGCCAATGTCCCTTCAAATATTGATGGTGAATCAAGAGTCCCAGTACAGCGACCAATTTCCCGATCTCATTACACTTCAAACTTGAAGAGTGAATTGACCGACTGTAACATATTAGTGGGAAATCTTCTTCATACCCACACGTCTCCTATGTCATTTCCCTCCGCAACCTTGGAAACAAATCGATTCGATCAAACTACATTTTCAAACTCGACTCCTCAAAACTCCCACTGGGGACACCGAACTTCCATGATGCCATCTCTTGAGAATTATTATGATCCCTCTTCTTGTCCTTTCACAAACAGAAACTCTTTACGGCCATCTAATGACTTATTAGAGTATCAGAATAGACAGATTACAGGCTCAACTGGCAATACATACGATCCTACAAGTCCCCCCTTTCATCCGGCCATATCAGTTGAAGGACAACAACTCTTTCTCCTACGCAAAAAAGAAAAGGAAACATACCTTGCTCGCATAACCTCGAACATCCACCAATCGCTATCAGCCCTACCTGATACTCAAGGAGATCAACCAACTGGCTCGAGCTCGACAACATTTGCTGCAAATACCTCAACGAGCACGTCGACAACTGACTATAGAACTCAACATGCTTCCCCAAGCGCTTCTATGCAGCAAAGTCCTTCGTCTGATACTTCCGCTGTACCACCGGGCCAATCGAGTAACAATCCTTTTGTCATTCGTGACAATATGGGATTTATACGTACGTTTCAACCTGAATCTAGTTCTTAATGGATATAACCATCCTCAGCATTAAGTTCACAAGAAATTACAGATCAAGGAATGAATTTCGCCCCAAAAAATCTTCTGCCATTGAGCTCCAGAAGAATCATCAGATCTATCTCTAGCTCCACCATTACGCCAATTCTGCCTTCACCCAAAACCATCAAAGGCAGAACTACCTTTCCAAATAAAGCCAATCATCACTCTGGAATGTCGATTCCTGAAAATCCACTTCCCGGTACAATCTCAAGCATTAGAACCCAAAATACCCTCTCGGTTCACAATGCCAAGAAGAATAGCACGAAAAAAGCATTCATTCCTGCAGCTCCAGTTTCCGCTCAAGTAGATGGAGCATCAGATTCTGCATCAAGTATTACGATCTGACCAATGACTCTAGACTATCCACTAAAAAATTTAATTTAGATACCGGCGTTCAAGCACATTGCATTACAAATTTATCACCACAGCAAGAATCATCCTGCTCGAGCGCCTCCTCAAACTTCACCATCAAGTTCATCCACTTCGACACCATGAAAGATTACGACAACGACGACAATGCGTGCACAGAACAACCCGCCTCCAACCCCCCGACCTCTATCACCCATTCCGCTCAACCTCTTCAAAATCTCTTTCATCCCACCCCAACCCGTCCTTCATCCCCACCACTTCACCTCCGCCCCCACACACCAGATTATCTCGTCTTCCCACCCACCGCCGCCTCATCCTCCAAGCAAATCTGGCCACGACCTCCGCCCGAAATCGAAGGCTACCGTCAATACACCTTCGTCCGCGACCGCATCTCTCTTAACATGAAAGCCAAGCGTCGCACGGAAATCGATCTCGATACAGGAGATTATCGACACAGCATGGATAGTCAGGAGACGAGTCGCGGATATAAAATGGATGGGACGCGTATCCGCACTAGTTCGCGATATTTTCATAAGAAGAGGGTTGCGAAGAAATCAAAGGAGAAGATGGAGGAAGAGAGGGTGGATGAGATTGCGAGGAAGGTGGAGAGTGTAGAAAAGGGGGTCGAGGAGATGAGAAGAGAAGAGGGAGATGTGTTCTTGGAGTTGTTAGGTGGTGGGTTCTTGCCTTTGTGAAAGGGTTTGGGTTTTTGGTTTTCGTTGGGTTATGGGTAATTGGGAATTTGGGGTGTTGGGCTTCCATGGAACTCGTCGACTCATGTTCGATATATGTGTTTCATGTATGCACTCTAGAATTTCCTTTATGTAGAGGAATCTTCTTGGTCACATTAGATACCCAGTAGTGATAATCATTAAATTGATCAACGAACAAATGAATGAGAGCAAAATGTGAAACATACTGGCCAGTGTTCTTTATAATACCATCCCTCCATGTCAGTGTTAAACCTTTGTTTCCATATTTGAAATCAGGTTTTTTTTACTTCTAAAATTCAGGAGAATTATCTAGAAAAGTATGTAGGAGAATAGTCAGGACTTGCGTTTTGATTGCTACGTTGGTATTGTTGTACTACTCAATATCACAGATTCGACTTGATATGCAACCTGAGTAGTCACTCACACACATTGAAGATTTGAAATACTAATTGCGGGATACTATAAGAGATATAGTCTATAGAGAGAAACGAGGTATATACGAAGAAATCTTCAACTTTTTCACAAACCGATACCATCAATCCAAACCATCTATTCCGACACCAACCCCATGAGCAGATAACAAGATGAACAGACCCAAACAGCTTTCTCCAGAACCCTCCTGACTCACACTTCTCTACTTTTGAACATAATGCTGCATCTCAACATCTGCTTTCTTTTCCGGTATGAATGCCACCACCAACCTTCCGATAATCGTCTTCTTCGCAATCCTCAACACCGCATTTCCCGCTCCTGCTTTTCGATTCTGTTGTTGTGTCTGGCTCTGTTGATTTTGTCGACCAAGCGGCTCATCACTATCCGAACTCCCTGGAAGCCGTTGCAGATCTGCATCTGCAACCACGTCTTTGGATTTAACTTTCAACGTGACGCCAATTGCCAAATAGACAACCACGATCACCAATTCCTCAAGTAGATCCATACATAACAAGACTGTGACGCTTCCATTGAGAGCATTGAAGTTTGTAGAGTGTGACACGAAAGTTGAGAGAACAGAATACAAGAGTCGAACAAAGAGAAATGGCAACGCAAAAGTAATCCCAAGCAAAATCCTCTTCTCTCCATTTTCCGCCTGTGAGATTGAGAAACTGGTGAAGATTGTGGTGGCTATAATAGCCACAAACGAGACAATAAATAAGATGTTAGAAACCTTGCTCTCCGTTCCCGGAACCCATTTCCCAGTTGAAGTGTAGGTGTCACTTGCGTTAAGTCCACCTACAATACCAAGTATCAACCCGACCAATGTGAGTATCTCGATGAGTTTCAGCATGCGAGGTTGGACGAGTGTATGGGTATTTTGATTGATGCTGTCTAAAACGCGACTTAAGAGTCCCAGGGTAGCGAGTAGCAAAGGCGATAAGCCGATGGTTTGCAGGATAAGTGCGCCAGTGTAGAGAGATACCGAGGGAGATGATATGGCGGCGAGAGACATGCAGGGACCGATGATTCTAGCGAGACAGAAAATTATGAGGAAGTACCATCCTGCACTGCGGCCAAATCCATGACGGAAAGCGAGGAAGACAGAGAGGAAGAAGGAAGGGATATAGACGATTAGTTCACCAATTTCAACGCCGTTGCGATAGGTGATGGTCATGATTTGTCTTTGGGTCGACGAAGTGCTAGAATAAGAGAGGAAGTATATGACTTTTAGCTAGAGCTTGTGTAGTAGAGAGCAGAAAACAAATAACTCTGTTGTAATTTTTTTTCAAAGTGAACTTCTAAAAGCTCGAACTGCAAGGAATGAACAAAAAATCATATTAACAAGAAGCCCCAAACAATATATATACATCCTCGACATTTTCTAACTGATCTGGGCTATCCCAGACTTTGATACTCATCATACCACCCGAAAAATTAAAATCCTACCACCAACTTAACGATTCCCTCATTGAGAAATGTGCAACTTAGAGACCCTATGGTAAGGCTGAAAACTAACCCTAATTAGGCATGCATGTAGTTGAAAAGGTGGCTGATGTGAGAGTAAGCTCAGCCTCCGATGATTAAGCTTTCGGCTAACGACCACACCGACGGGTTTGCAGATCAATTTCGTGCTATGTCAGATTGGGAATGCACTGAGTTTGTCGTCAGTGGCTATGTACGTGGGGGGAAAAAGGGGAAAAAGTCGAGTTTGATAATTGATTCTCTATGCAAGCAGGAGGATGATCTTTGAATGGTTGAAGAATGAATGACCGGGATGAGATAGAAGCGAGAGTAGATAGAGGGTGTAGAACTAGACAACTACGTCTTTAAAGAAGTGTACATAATTATTGCCTATATGACCAATATATATACCTATTTTTACGGTCGAGGCCACCTAAGAGGACTTTTCATGGTCCGTATATTGTAATTGGGCAGAAAGAGGTCTAGACAATACTTACCAGCGATTAAAGTTTACTGTCTTGCATACTATTCACTGACGTAGTTTTGGCTTAGAATGTATATATGAATTCCTACCGTAAATCAAAAAAAAAAAAAAAATAGCCCGGAAGGTTTCCTATTGATACGATTTCAGATCGGTAGACCTTTTTTTCTCTGTAAAATGGACCATGAGCCGGACTGAGATGTCAAGCCTGTTGCCACCGGCCATATAATTGGCCCACGAATATTTCTATCATTACACAAGTCGCGAGAAGAGACGTAGTGACCAATTCCTATGTTCATTTGCATAATGTTGAGAGGATGAAATTTGTTTGTGTCTCATAATTACTCTGCAGAGTGAGTTTATAAACACACATTCCAATCTTTGATATGCGATCATCATGGCCATCCAGAAAGGTTCAATCTCAAGCTTTACCAATAAACCATACGAATCGATATATCGATAAACGCATGGCTCTCTGTATATGGGAGTTATTGCCCGAAGAATTTGATTGTGGATCTTTGGATGTAGATACTAGTTTTCTATCTCAACTAAATCTGCAGTAGGGATAATTTTGAGACTGAAACAGAATTCGCTCATCTTAGTGCTATCCAAAAGAAGCCTTGTAAGCCTAGAAGAATATCTTGAGATTTGCAGATACGCCTGGCGTTGTTGCTGTATGAAAAGATAAACCTTTCCTTCTTGTCACCAAGAGGTTATTTCGCTGTCTATGCCAGTTTCAATGAAGCGACTCCAGGAAAAAGGAAGCCGTGGTCGCACTGCGATGTAGCACTGAGAATCTGTGGTAGAAAAAAAAATTGTAGGAGGGAAGATATCAGGTTATCAAGCCCATTGACGCAAAAAAAACCTGTAATCACAGAACAAGGGCGGGGAATATACCATAGCAGATTGGTGAATCATCTTAGCAAGCAGATAGTTGGTTATTGAAATTGCGAGCCTTTTCAAGGGATTATTCTTGAGAGATGGTGATATGTGCAGAATATAGAATTTTTGGGAAAGAAAAAGAGAAACCAAACGACTCAGAGAGCTGTAGTGGCTTCGAAAGAAGTGACTAGTGATTTGAGAGACAAAATGACATGGCACGTAATGTCTGGAGACACCCCCGCCAAAATCGAAGTAGGATATAAAGCACCTTTTGGAGTCTACACAGCTATAGATGATGAGTCTTGCATGAATTCGTCGTCTTGTGGAGAATTGAAACGGTTTTTGAGCTGCTCCATTTCGGTATGAATCATTCCATATCATATTGCCTTGGGGTATATCTTTGCCCATGTCGATACCCGGCCTTAACGGATATAGGAACATTGAAGCCATTCAAGTAAGCACTATCACCAGTCAAAATCAGATAAAGCGATTCTTTGGGTCCTCTTTCATGTGATGAATAGGCAAACATCATAGTCGCTAGTTGAATGAACTCCGAGGTGCATCTCTCCATGTACGGTATTCGGAGCTCTTGCCAATGGTATCGCGAAAGGTATTGTACTATTGCACTCAGTGACCACTGCATTAATTCCATATTGGCACTTACCGTATTGGGTGGATCCAACATAAGATATACCTCAGTGAGCTTCGTGTGACATCGTCGTAGAAAGGATGGTGAAAAAAAAAGATGTTAGTTTTTGACATGTATGCTAATTGTGGTGTTAGTAAGTCGGGACTTTTTAAGCCCGAAATTTCAAGACAGCAATCCTATTGTTGAAAAGGCAACAGTCGAAAACCAGATCAATGAATCATCGGGACGGGCAATTACTCGGAGATAATCAAGATCTTACAACCGCGATTTTCATCGAGCTTCAATATTTTTCGGCACCGTCAAATGATACCCAAACCTTTAAGCCTCTGTCCCCATAGCCTCGCTAGCTACAGACGACAGAAGCGAGCTTACTGTACCGGTGTCTGAGCTTCAAGAGTGGACCAGGTCCGTAATCCTGGGAGGTGCCACGCGGTCCATGCAGAAGTATTACTCAAACCAAATTAGGAATGCAATGCGAAGGCCTCTCATATTTCGCAATTTCTGCAACGAGAATATTCCTTTTTGGGAGCGCAAATCTTGCCTTCTCAGTGATTCTGCCCTGAATGCCAGAACATGCGGACCTTTTGACAAGCGTCAACATTGTTCAATAGGAACAGAAGCCTGTTCAAAACCGTTGAAGTAGCGTGCCTGAGCTGATTTGAGTGATTCAAGCTGCGGCGCAGTTAGCTGTATCTGCGTTATCGTCATCCAAAGCTTCAAAATTGTTCTGGCGCTGGAAGCGTTTCCTTGGGGCTGATGTACTTGCAATTTCACTCCAAGCAACAATGTCGGAATATCCAGTACGAATGACCGTGGTAAGAATTGTACAAAAAGCTTCCTATTCTCCCACCTATTGACGGAATTATGTCAGTCTTCAATCGTGTTTGTGGAAGGAATTTCTTAATCGTCGCTCATCATGGTTTATTGTAGAAAGCCTTCAAAAGGGTGTGCAAATTGTAGAGAGAGAAAGATTCGTGTACGTGGAAGCCCCCGACCTTTAATACGTTCTGCAACGGCTGGTAATGCCCAGGCTACCAATGCAAAGAGGCTCAACACCACTGAGAATGCACACCCTATTTGGGTTGCAATCTCGCTCAAACGAGGAAAGGAGTTAATCATATGTCTCGTATAGTGTGGGCAGGAACAACCAACCTGCATGAATTGTGCGAAAGCGAGTAAAACGTGTCCAGGTTATCGGAATATGCTAGATTTGGCTTTCCGAAATGAAAGTTCCGCTGTTATTGAGAAAGCCAAAGCCAAGGAGAAGGCTAAAAAACTTAAAGCTAGCGAAAAAGAGCAGCGATCATCCAGACCATCTAGTGCCACTAGAACAAAAAAAACAAGTAGAGCCTCCTCATCGAGTGACCAGAGACTTTCAAGTCGAAGTATTGCGGTATCCTCATCGAACTATGAAGATGACGACAAATTTGAGTTGAACGAAATCTTAACGGCTCCACGGCCAAGGGCCGCATTGGCACCATCAATTGTTGAGCAGGGTACCTCATACTTCATCACCAACTTTGTGGCTGGAGTATCCGGATCATCACACGGACATTTCAATTATCTGAAGGACCTCTGCCGCAATGGTGGTCTGGACGAAGCTTTATCTACAAGCATGACGGCTGTCGGTCTTGCTGGTCTTGCTAACAGAACCAAATCACCTCAGTTACTCGGTGAAGCTCGTCATGAATATATGATTGCGCTAAGGCGTGTCAATGGTGCACTTAGATCTCTCACAGATGCTGTCAAAGATAGTACTTTACTATCTATCATGGTATTAGCCGTATTCGAAACAATAACATGTACCAATCGATTGTCTTTAAAAGCATGGACCGAACACATCAATGGAGCCTCGACGCTTATCAAGCTTCGAGGCCCCTCACAGTTCAAAACACGAGTGGGGGTTGGTCTGTTCATGCAGATAACAGCTCATATTCTCATAAGCGCGCTACAGCGAGAAATCCCGATGCCACAAGAGATTATGGCGCTACGAGCCGCAGTTCATAAGCAGCTTGACCTCCGGGATCCTACTTTCAGAATGCTGGCTATCCTAGACAAACTTACGCACTTTAGATCCGATCTTCGAACCGGCAAATTGAGCGATAGTGAACAAATCTTTGCCGCCGCTCTTGCTCTGGACGAAGAATTACAACAAATACTTGCTAATGTACCACCCGACTGGGAAGTCGAGACTGTGCAAGCTGGGGAGAATGAAGCTCCAGAGATCGTGTTCAAGGGTTCTTACGACATATATTACGACCATTGGATAGCGCAAATATGGAACTCGATGCGAAATTCTCGAATCATGCTCAATGAGGTGATTAGACAACACATTCTTGAAGGTTTTGATGCCATACCCCCACGCTTTACATCTATGAGCTACATGGCTCAATATCAGTTGAGCACAGATACACTAATGCACATGCGCGATGGAATTTTACGCTCAGTACCCCAATGTCTGGGCTAGATAAGTCGCAAACCGTCAACTTGGACTTCATCTCCCGGTCACTCTACACCTCCATCCCGCACCCCATTACCTCTCAATAACCTCCCACCTTCAACTCCTAATACAATTAGCAATATCCTCTCCACTCTTTACCAAGATGCCTTCGTCCCTGATACTCCCTCTATTCCAGCTGAGACTGGCCTCATACCCCCGCCTTTCTCTTTTCCTGCAGCGGGCGCCTATTTCCTCGTCTGGCCACTCTATATCGCAGCCGTATCTCGCGTTACTTCACCCGAGGACCGCACCTTCGCCTGTACCGCACTCCGCCGTCTAATCAGCGATACGGGTGTTACGCAAGGAGCAGCCCTGGCGCATTTCATTGAAACGAGTCCACGCATGCACAATTCTGTAAAGGATAATGGGAAAGAATTTGAGAATCGAGTGAAAAATAGTACAGTAGGGCTTGGCAGGAGTATTATTGATGGGGATAAGATGTCGAAGGGTATGATTAAGAGAGCGGGACCTTTGCCAGTCTATACTTATACAAGGGGAATCAATGAGATTGAGGTCTGAAGAGGTGAAGTTAATTGTATTGGCAGTTGAGATGAAGACGCCGCGACTATTCCTGTCAAAACAAGGGCAGTGAGAATGAAGAAACGTATTTGCAGGAGCGGCATCTATCAACAACAATCAACCATTTATTAAGTAATTTGGAGATTGGTACATGTAAATATAGTCCATAGTATAAATTCTATAGATGAATGCTTTGTTAGAATAATACATCAGTACAAATGCTATGACGAATCCCCCGAGCTTACAATTGTAAATGCAATTTCCTTCTTCCTCAATGATACCCAACGCCGACCCATTATGATACATGGTAAAAAATCTCGCTTAATCCGAGTCCGAATCTTTGTGTGCATCTTTTGTCCCCTTTCCACCCACAAGTTTCTTTCCTGCCTCCGAATCGTCATCATCATCATCTGACCAGCGGTCACCGTCTTCTCCGACTGCAAAAATTGTTTCTCCATCAAGACTTTCTCTTGGAATCTCCTTTGCGGTGTTAGCTCCTGGAGGAGGATCATATCTTGCTCCCTCTTGGCCGGGTTGTGTTCGGTCACCTCTGCGAGCTGCAGAGTTCTCAATATCATCTTCATCATCATCTTCAGCGCCAAAATCGGCGATCTCAAATCCCTCATCGTCTTGCGCTAACTCGTCACTCATAGCGAACCTTCTATTGTTTGCACTTGGCCTCCATACCCAGGCAACAAATGCGACATCCATCAAATAGACAATATTAAGCCAGCCGTCAAGAATAAACCATCTGGATTTCCAGTGGAAAGGAACAAAGTCAGGATCTGAAGCCGAGGCGAAAGTAAACGAATTGAAAAAAAAGAAGCCGAATATGACGATAATCGAGAGCAGAATACACCACCATAGCTTGCGATACATGCCTGCTTTCGTCGTTTGTTTGCGGTCATTCAAATCCTTCATGGTCAAGTTGAGCGAATTGAGAGTCCAGACGTAAAATGCTGTAAGGGTTCCGGCAAGGGGGAGAATAACAAACAGTACTAGTGGACCTAGTCATAAGTTAGCATGTGAGTCTTTTGTTAATAAGAGAAGGTCTTACCAGCGTGCTCGGGAGTAATTGTCAAGCTCGCAATTGAATAAATCAAGCCAAAGACGAAATGGGCTCCAGCGAGATAGCGAACATAAACCATAGTCTTGCCTAAACTAGGCTTGACGACACCATAACCCATGCAGACAATAAGTAGCAAGAAGAACGAAAATGAATTACGACCCGCATTAAGTACAGCAACGATGATCATCATTGCTTTTGAGCCAATATTGCTGCCAGATCGATTGAGATAATCTACATAGGTTAGCGTTGTCCGGAAAGAACTGCAAAATCGATTTACCATAGAAGCCCCAAGTCATCAGCATTTCGACTATTAAAAAGACGATGATTGCTGTGATGTAGTTCTGTACGGGCACTATTGAAATATTAGTATGTATATGAAGGACTCGACAGAGGATACTGACGAATATCTTCTCGATGTTGCACATAGAGAAATGCCCAAAGACTGTTAATCATTAATTAGCTTCGGCAAAAATGAATAGGGGAACAGCTTGACCTACATTCCTATAACAGCGTACACAATTGTGATAATGCCGTAAAATGGCAGTTTTGGTATTTGTGCTGCTGGAAGCTCTCCATAGGCATTCCGGAATTCTACAATCGCAGTATATTTAACATTTGAAGGAGAATAGCCCGTTGTACCAACACAGTAGTAGCCAGTCTTCTTGATAGGATAATTTATTGGTGGGCCGGTGCTGTTGAGATGAACGGCTCCAGTGTAGATTTGACTGATCGACTTTTCTGTTGCGTTTGGCGCAAGGAGGAATTGACCAGTCTGATTGCTATTACAGAAACCATTGCTGATATTCTCTGGATCGCAAATGAATTCTTTCTAAAACCAGGTATCAGCGGATGATGGAAGTGAAAGTTGAATCAGTTGAATCGTACCTGTATACTGTCAATGGTTGGCAACACACCAACCAGGTCATAATCCCTCCATTCGAAGATGACCATGCTTGCAATTGGATCGGGGTCCTCTGAGTCTTGTATAGTTGGGAGCCATTTCACTAATATGTGTGGTTCAGCCGGGCCTCCCCAAGTCTTCCGATCATACATTCCGGCGCATACTTGTCGATTGTCATTAGATTCGTCCTGCTATCACCGTCAAAACAAGCACCTCATCTCCATCTCTGCCGACGTACCATTCTGACCTCCAACGCACCAACTGTCAGGGCCGAAATCCCCAATGCGAGGAACCCATGAAGCCAACCTCGCATGTTTGCTGTAGCCTCGCGGGCTCGAATTGAAGGTTATGTTACTTTAGTATCTAGGAAATAAGACTTCGAGATTTGAGAAGGTAAATGATGTTGTCGTTCTCCTTGACATTTAAGTGCACATCCAGACCAGCTTTTCGAACATTCACAAAATAATATGAAAAGTTTGTCGTTGAATGAAGTTTTGACTTGCTAGACTTGTTAGACTTGTTTGATTTCTGGCAACACCAAACCCCCAGGCAGGGATCCCTCTTAGCTGACAGAGCCAGAGCTTCACTGCGGGTTAGGGAAACGTAAGGCACAGATCAAGCTAACTTTATGTGGTTAGATTTATGCTCGGGCGATTGACATTTTGCTCCAGCCTCGCCTCATTAAAAGTCTTGAATCTGCACAAAATAATTAAGAGCATTGAAACATTTGTTGTACCTGAAACATCCAATTATTTGACTTATTTGAATAAAATGGCGATGGCGACGGCAAATCCTGAGGCTGTGCATCCTTCTGCGGAACAACCAAATGTGCTCTGCAAGAGATGTATGGAGTCTAATGCCACACTTCAAATTCGATCAGAATCAGTTTGCCAGTTCGTCATGCATCTCAGCATCCTTCTATGGTTTTTACTAATAAATTGTTCTCTACCAGAAAATGCTTCTCACAGTATGTTAAAACAAAGGCAGTAAAGCGCATGGAAACGTATAAAGGCAAACGATCTTCGAAAGTTCCACAAAAATTATTATTACCACTTTCCTTCGGACCTTCGTCGTCATGCCTGCTCCATATATTAGATGGCCACCTTCAAACCCAACAAGAGCGGATGAACAGAGTTTCGTATGAACTATTCGTTGTACATATCGATCTTTACCTGGATGATGCGGACAGAGAAGCCTCTGCTGTTTTATTGCAAAAATACAAGGACCAGTACCCCAGACATTCTTATTCAAGTTATGGACTTCAGGAAGCATTACAACTGGAAGGTATTGACTGGGCATCTTTGGGAATATCAGACGCTCCTACTCAGGGTGCCGAAGCCTCAAGTTTGGATCTGCAGAATATTGTCTCTACAATGTCATCTGCAACTTCCAGGGCCGATATTGTATCTACGCTTTTGAATAGACTCCTAGTGGATGTCGCCAAAAGAAATGATTGCGAGAGCATTTTGTTCGGTGATACTACTACACGACTAGCAGAAAAGACGCTCACTGAAACAGCCAAGGGGCGTGGATTCTCTCTGCCATGGCAAGTCTCTGATGGACCATCACCATACGGAATGGGCTTTAATTATCCCTTACGAGATATCCTTAAAAAAGAAATCATGACATTTTCCTCTTCAACGACACCTCTCCCGGAGCTAGTCGTGTACCAGGAGCCACCCTCTCATATATCTGCATCCTCTAAATCGACAACGATTGACGATTTAATGGCACAATATTTTGAATCTGTCGAAGAGAATTTCCCTAGTATAGTTGCCAATGTTGTTAGGACATCGAGCAAATTGAAACCTTCTACTGACCACGTATCGAAAGGCTGTGGAATTTGCGGACTCCCTGTCGCAGAGGGTACTGATGGTATTTACGGTTGGGGCGGGGATCAAAATCCAGATTCAAGGCCAGCAAGGGAAAACATCAGTTCAAGCACTGTTCTATGCTATGGATGCTCAAGATCTATCAACGGATGAAAATGCTTAACAATATTCTATCATCTTTTTATACCCCCAATGCCCCGTATATAAACACCAATTATTGTTCCTGGTTGCCCGTGAGGGACATGCACTATACAAGCTGAACGAGGTTATACAACTCGGCGCGGCCGGACCTGCCAACCAATCTGAAGTCTGAATTAACTAGTCTATACCTGCTCTTTTATCGACGCAGGAAGGATTCGGTTTTCGAATTTCCGCATAAGCTTGTTGGTTTGCTCCGCCAAACTGAGGGTCAAAATGGTATGAGGTAAAATTCTCGCAAGATGTGGCAAGAAACCCTTGTAGATAGCGAAGATACCTTCAGTCTTGACGGTCTTCGCTAGGCAATCAAAAATACCCGAGTACAGATTTCCGGTTTGATTGTACATGCGCGACATGATAGTATCTGAGAGAATTAGCATAAAGAACATTTTCAAAATCAAAAACTGCTTACCTGGTGGGTGCATAACACAACAAACCACAAAACCACTAGCTGTGCTACTTGCAAGGTGCAATGCTGGTCCCTCCTCCATTCCCAAGTGTTTCACAAGTCTTCTCTTTGCAAAGAAATATGTTGGTAGCTGAACAGAACTTCCAAAACCTGTCCGGACCATGGCGGCTCCTACTCCTCTGTAAAGTCCATTTACTCCCTCTGTTGTATGAATCTTTCTCATTCCATCCATAGCGTTTTTGTAACCATGTTGTGTGCCTACTGGTGCTTGTGGTGAGAAACTTTGTAATCTTGTCTTGACCAGGAAGAATGGACTTCCTGCCGCAGCGCCCAAAACTCCTGACGTTGCGCCCGAAAAGATATTTATTCCCAAACTTTGTGTTTTTGAATCATCAAATATTGCACCAGTAAGAGTCTCCCGTATCGGTTCGTAAAATCCCAACCGACATCCATTTAAGATCATCTGGTAAATGTATGCAGCGCCAATTCCTCGATATATGCCCCCAATACCCTCATTCCGTACAATAGTTGTGACACCGTGGATAGGCCCTTTGTATAGTCTTGGTTGGAGTCCTTTCTCTTGGAGCTCGC